GGGCCGGGCTACGTCTCGCATTCTTTTTGTTGTTTAATCGTGATAACTTGATTTTAACGGACACTTTAACGCCATGTTTCCTCGACTATCACGGATTTGTCGATCATTATTTTTAATTAACGACATAGCTTTGGAACAAATCCTCGTCTATTTTAATCATTTCTTTTTAATTGCACAATTTTTATATCCATTTGAGATAAATATTTGAGATATGCAGATATTTTTATTTTAAGAACAATAAATACTTTTTACTTTATTTAATCAAGTACCGTTTATTACACTTATTTAATTAAAATCGTAATCAATGTTTTGTTCAGATTTAGTTACTTTAATATCTATTTTTATTTTACATCGTTACATCTTCTGGTAGTCAGTTATAGGATTGAATAAAAAAATTTATATCTCATAAAATTTACATGAACAGAACAGAACTTAGTATAATAATAACAAACATACATCATTCGGTTAACCATAAACAACAAAGGAAAGTTCAAGGCGTTGTAGCTCTGCGATAATTTTCTTTATAACGAACATAAAACAATGTTTGTTGTAAGTCATTTTTGGAATACGACCTCATCTCGGTCGCAGATAAATCGTCGACAATAAACCTAACACGAAGAGGTAGTAAAATTCTAATTTGAAGTCGAGCGTTGGAGAATTCTTGATAGGGTGACTATAAAACTCACTAATCAGGGACAAATCAAAGTACACTGCCGTAAAAACATTTAATTTATTTGACTTCAATAAACGATTAGACACAACAATGCATATTCTATAGGTCAAATACCTGGTACTAAAAATGGGAATAGGTTTAAGATTTTAGCAACAAATTAACAGCTATCTATTTAAAACCCATTTCGGGTTTAGATCAGAACTAGAGAAACTGCAAATGACTAATATTGTTGTCTATTGTGCGAAGGATGGGTTGGCAACACCGTTCCGGAGGCGAGCCGCTCTCGCCAGCTGTTCCCCCGTATCAGCCCGCGCCGAACTCGATATTATCGCTCAAGTCACGTTTACCGAGATACCGAAACAATTATATTAATTGTTCTATTCCTAGAACCGTTCATTGTAACGTTTACACTTAGTATATCCGTTAATATAGTCTTTGTAACGTAACTACTATTATTATTTTTCACTTTCACTTTAATATAATAGTCATTGTTTTCTTAAATAATACTATAATTAATTTTTATATTTTAACAAATGATATAAAGACCTGTAATTTTACACAGTGTGTGTATTCATTGTCCTTTGATGAAATGCGAGTTCTTTATGTTAAAGACTAGAATTTGATGTATATTCTGTGAGGCGCCAAAATCAATGATACTCGGAGGTTAGCCTTAAGAAGCAGCAAAACTGGCTTACTAATTGGATTCATATACATTTTTGTTCTTGTCTATATTGCTTATGTTTACCGTAACGATTAGACGAATGGGTTCTGAGATTTGTTAAGTTTATTTAGTAAATGTGTTTTCTCACTCGAACGCAAATATGGTAGTTGCTACCTGAATCCCACTCTGCTAACAATTTCAAATTGTACCGATTTAACATTCGTAATCACGTAGACCAAAAACGTAGAAGGTCATAAGGTGGATATAAAAAGATGGGCTTCATGGGCCATTCATCAAACAGATCATCTAATTCATGACTTCTTACTAAGTGGTTTCACTAGTCGAGTTTCTAGTATGATATTGTCCATAAGATTCTTTCTTAAATTCCAGATTACATAATAGTGCGTGTAGTAACGATAAGATAGTAAGCGGCAAAGCTTAAAGTTACTATGGCCGGTAGGTACGAGCTATATAATCTTTTTTTGTAATCGGCGCGCGGGGGTCGTCGACCGCGGGAACGGAGGCTGGCTAGCGGACCTATGCGCGTGCGCCTTCCTTCATTACTGCCCTATACATATTTACTACTTTCGTTAACCCACTGTGAATCTAGTTACGTTAACAAACAACAAAGCACATATGTTGATACTCTTCTTTGGTGGCAATGCCTTACCTTTCTGTTTGATTAGCCAATATTTCCATTACAGTAATGAAAATCTGTGTTTTTTTAATGCATTATGTTTTTAAATTATGGGTGTGATTGGTATTTTTGAATTGAGTCATATGTACTTATAGAAATTATTAGCTTTCGCCCGCGACTTCGTCCGCGTGGGATTAAAAAAAAACAAAAGCCTATGTGTTCTTCCCGACTATCCTCTACATCTATACCAAATTTCATCGCAACCCGTTCAGTCGTTTAGGCAACAAACTCTGAGAAACATTACTTAATCCATCGATCCATTTAAACTTTCGCGTTTATAATATTAGTATGAAGTATGATATGAATTTATAAATGAATAATAATGCCTTCCAATGCCGAATAAATTCATAACTTAATAGTATAAGTAGACTGGTAAAATCCGAGAACTTTCGTTGCAAGTTTGCCGTCTGAGTTTTCTTAAAACATAAAACCCAATAGATAGCCTTTTAAAGTTAGTACTTACATCAATTTGTATTAGTTTCTTACCTCTTAAAAGTTTGGATATTGAATTTTGACAAAATATGTGCACCACCTGCATGTTAAATGATGAATTAAAGAGACATAAATACCAAATAAGTGTTCCGGCGTCGGATAGAAAGCAATCACTCCTAGTTTGTGGGCTAAGAGGGGACTTGGAAAAAATAAAGGTGAAGTGAAGATGCACTCTCTTGAACTCGTAACATCCTTGTGCGGTCGCCACCCCGGCCGGCGCGGCGGCGGCACGAGGAGAGCGCCAACTGGAGCAATTACAATCCATCTACGGCACACGCCTTTGATCACTGATTGACTACTGACGGGATGTTACCATCATGATAAATGAGTTCGCTGAAGTACCTTCTTATGCATGAGGTAACACTTCAATATAGACTGTAAAGACATATCATACTAATATTATAAATGCGAAAGTTTAGATGGATGGAGGTTTGTTAGAGTTTGTAGTCTAAACGGCTGAACGGATCTGGATGTAATTTGGCATAGATGTAGAACATAGTTTGGAAGAACACATAGGATACTTTTTTTTTAATTTCACGCAGACGGAGTACCGGACGAAAGCTAGTATGTTTATAATACTTTCTTTTCCTGCGTTCATAATAATAACTTTACTTTCTTCTACAACAGCTTACATACGCCATCGAGATATGCCAGGTACAACGCTACAACTATAATTAAATTAGTTTTAAAAAATGCAACCAGAATTTCAAATCTATACTAATATAATAAAGCGTAAACACACACTTCTTTGTGGCGTAAGATCTCAGCAATTACAGTATATTTTTTAATAATTCTTTTTTTGATAAAAAGCCCTACACTTGTGTCACGCTTTAGGTTATATAATTGCACGCTATTAAACTAAGGGGGTAAATAAATTAGATAAAAGCGCTAATGTGGAAAAGAGACCATAAGCTACGAGCTGCCAACATTAAGGAAGAAAAGGTATTATAGTTACGGTAATTTTGACATTTGCAATTGCAAATTTTTAAAAAAAGTTTATTTAATTTCAGAACAGCTAGTAGATTATATTCAGAGACGAGAGAAACGAATAAGTCCATCTAATGTTAAGGAACAATCTCTCATAACCGCCAATAGTTAAGTCAGGTATATACGGATATCCGATCACATGATACAAATATGATTTCACCATGTGATTCTAACAATTATTTTCGTAAACCGTATCCTTGTCCAAGTCTACAACTTAATAAATAGTAAAGTAGTTATTACAAAAATCTGCTAACTAACGTTGATAAATAAAGCTGGCTATGGATATAACCACCGGAAAACAGCAACATTGCACCTGTCACTTGTAAACGATATCCAGTAAATAGTAGCGTAATTTTGCTTACTTCTTATTTACTATCGCTTAATGTTGTGTAAATGTTCCATACTAACTTTTAAAAAGAGAATCACTTAGCGATTGGAAAATTTAGAGTAGGTAATAATATTACATGCTTATTGAATTCAATTGTTGTTGCTACTTTGCTTTGTGTTAAAACATTTCGTCGAGCTTAATTTAAGCGAGATTATGTTAAGGACATCAACGTCTTTTTAAAACTTAGCTTTGTTTTTAAAACTACAAATGGGATAAGTAACGGCGTAGCGGACATATAAAAGCATATCGTGAGAGATAAAAAAAAAATACTGCTATTCTTAGTCACGACGAATCTTTAAGACTTACCGTGGATTTTGACAAAACTACAAACTCAAGTCATCCCTTTCATTCCTTTAAAAAGAAGAGAGATGACAACATTTTCTTGAACAAATGATTCGGCAGTAGAAACTAACGTTAATAAAGAATGTGACTTGGAACCAAGAAAACCTACTGTTCTACCTATTGTGTACTGTTAAAAGCATATAGTGTTCACAAATCAGTTCAGTTAATCTTATTAGAACCGAGACGTGACCCGACATGGAGGGGCATTTCGTCACATAACGAATATCAATTTTAAGATCATTTAAGCCGGATGGGAGACGGACGCATGACCGCATTCGTCAGATCGTGAGTTAAATCGTCACCCTATGTACCATAGTGAATAAAACATAAAAATTAAATGCAAGTACTATTTTCAATAATATAATATTTATTTAACTAATGGCGTTTATATGGTGAATATGCAAATGTATGTATGATTTACAATCTTAGCTAAGAAACAAGGCATTTCAATAACATAAGACTATCAAAGCAGTTTTTTTGATCCAAAAGAAAATTATCTTAATTATCTCCAAATAAGCTATCAAATTTTATAGTACCGGAATCATTTTTTGTTGGCAAAATCGAAATTTTTACTTTTAATTTGGAACTTAATTCAAAGAAGTGTTCCATCTATTTATAGGTGAGGTTATTATTATTAGTGTATGTCACGAGGCCAGCCAGCCTCCGAGAGCGCCGCGCCGGCCGCGAGTCCGCGGCGGCAGCGCCGTCCCGCCCGCGCTCCTTCCCTTCTCCCATCCATCAGTCAGTCAGTCACTTTACAATACGCGTGGGGGACGGTTGTACGCTCCGGCTGTTCGTCCGACATTCACGCGGGCAACTGGGTCACGGGGTACGTTTTCAAATAGACGGATAACTAAAGGTGTTGTGTTGTGATCGCTTGTTGTGGAAGTGTTTTGTTATTAATAACAGTGAAATAACAAGCTAGCGGCTCTTTTGAAGTAACCGTGATGCGTGCGTGAGCGCAGCGCATGACGTGCTACGAAACGTTGAAAGCTTCGGCACCCGCCGCGGACGCCCCCATGGCGCACCACTTCGTCAAGTGGTGGCGCAACAAGTTTAGAAATGGATACAAGAAATTTAGCAGTAAGTTGTATTATTATCTATCAATTATTCGTTTGTAAACACAAGTTTAGGTCAAAACTGTGCCTCGTAATTATCTTTTACGCGGCTACTGAATTTGGTGAATGAAAATACGAATTTCATTGATTTACAAATGTTGTCATTAAATGAAGAACAAACAAGTTAATAGAAGCAAATTCCAGTGATACATAAAATTATTATTTGTATCACGTATAGCCTTGAACTTGGCAATGTTTACAATTTTACGTCGCGTTGTTTTTGAATGAATGGACGCACTTTTGTAAATATTACTATTATAACTTTCATATTTTTTCATAGATTATATAGACATAGGTATACAGAGTACCTATTTCATTTAAAGTAAAAGTTTCATGTTCTCCAAGCATTTATTTTTATTGAAATAACGTAGGGCATTACATTGTATCGCGTCTTCTAGCAATAGCAGCTGGAGACTTGATACGCACCCAACTGAACTATGAATATTTATTACGCACTTTATGTTTGCTTGTTTGGGTATTTTATGAATATTATCTGTCCTTATACGTTTTAAATTCCTTCGTTTGCTTAATATTATGGCGCTTATAAACGGTACTAGTGTAGGTAATAAATGTAAAACAGAGCCTAAAACAAAAACATGATCTCTCTATAACGACCAGGAGAATTTCATTTCCTTTTAAGTCGTTAAATGTTAAATTATGCATAGAATATTAGTACAAACATCATTTAAATTTATCAGCTGATAGGTATGCTATCTAGTAATAGTATTTACTTTTCTTTCTACTGTATTTCCTGGGATGTCAACACATTTGTAAATAGGAAAGTAGTCTATGTATGAATTTTTAAAAACTTATAATAAACAAAAATAAATAGTTTGTCATAATAATTATTATGTTAATCCAATGATAACGCATTATTAATAATGTAGGTATAGTCCAAAAATCAAATGAATTAGAAAGGTTGCCACACAAATATGTTTTAAAGCAATATATCGAGAAAATATTCGAATAAAGACAGTTTACCATCAAAGAAACGGTTATCGATGTATTAAAAAAATTTTAGCTATTTTTTATTATGGAAATGCCGATTAAATATATAGATAGGACCATGTTCTGCATCTATTTGTAATACAAGTTCTATTGTAGTCACTTCCTAGTGTTCTTAAAGCTTCTTATCTTTTAATCTCACCTCAGCGTAACGAAGGGAGTAAAAAAATCTTATCTCGACGGGTCCTACGCATAAGGTTGGAACTTGTTTTTATGAGAAAAACTACTTTTGATGATTTTCGAACTCAACTAAATAAGATATTTTTATTCTTGAAAACAAAAATGTTAAATCAGTTAAACACTGTATAGTTCTTCTAAAAATCGCTATTTTTGGTTACAATTATTTCCGTAGGAGCCTGTTAAATTGCAATTCCTAAGAATTATACTTTCATAAATATTAACAAATGCATTTTACTTTACGCTATTAAAATTAAAATTATTCTGAATAAATTATAATCTTCTAATACATGTTGCTCCAAAACACTGAAGATATCAAACAAAATAACTCAAAAAGTGCATTAAAAAATTTCTTTTAATATTTTTGCATATAGTAGGCATATCTAGTATGAATACCTAAGTACGTGTATATTTAGGTACTATATATCAATTGAAACGTCGTGTCGAGCAGTAAATGATATAATTTGCATAAAAAATAGTAACTTCCGGCGCCGAGACTGCTGACTACCCGTCGAATACTTCAAAGTAGACTCGGATCGCTTTGATCTGTTTGTATTTAGTTACAGCACACATACGTTCGCCGTACACTTCAATTAGAAGACGATACGTTTTTCGTTTACACACACAGAGTGCGCTCGACGTCACACTGGCGCGGAGTTTGTTAATATAGTTTTGGATACAAACCGAGGCGAGACGCTCATTTGATTAACTTCAAAGAGAAAAGTTGAAAGCGCGTCGACGAAGCGGAGACAATGATACCTTTTATTCAACATCAAAGACGTCCCCGCTCCGGCTTTAAACTCTCCACTCTAAAGTCTAAAGTGCGTGTGTACCGACTGCCTACAATTTATAGTAAGCGGCGGGCACAAAGAACATTTTCGGAGATACTTCGTTTTTGTTGCATAATTTAGGGTGCGCACCGTATAATGCTTTTTTTCTCGGCCAGTTTGAAAGAAGCCCGAAGCGATGAGGTTTTTTTCTCTATTTCTAATTTTGTTCCGCTGTTGAATGGACGGATACATGTCTAATTGAACAATAATTGCATTATTGGAGCTAAAGTTTTTTTTTTGTAAGATTAAAAACATGCAATAAAGGACATTAGCGGACATCATAGCTTCTGAAATAATGCCGTATAACTATTTATTTAAATGAAGTAAAATTGGGTATTCATGTTTGACGAGATCAAACACAGCTGGTATGCACTTTAAGACACCTATTTCTAGACTCTATTTGTAAGTACATAATTGTTAGGTAGTCACGTTCACATGAAAAGTACTTACCTAGCCGAGCGTTTGTGCAAGGCGATATCAAATGTCGGCGTACCCTCATTATTGCTCGCTCAAGTTACCCAACTTGTGTGTCACTGAGCATTTGTTTTTTACTTATACCAACCGAGATACGCAACGCATGTATGAGCAAGTAATACAACCTCTAGACATTACTACCGTGAGACTTTGAGTGCTGCGTCTGAAATCATATCTAAAATTAATATAACTACAAAAACATCAATATAGAATGACTAGCTTTCGCCCGCGACTCCGTCCGCGTGGAATTTAAAAAACAAAATTGAGTGGCCTATGTGTTATTCCAGGCTATCCTCTACATCTGTACCAAATTTCATAGAAATCCGTGCAGCCGTTTAGGCTACAAACTCTAACAAACATCCATCCATCCCTCTAAACTTTCACAATTATAATATTAGTATGAATATGATTATGCCTAAAACCATTGGTTGCGAAAAAAGGAGAAACGTCATAAAGATATGACACATTGATGTTGCTTTTCTATCTGAATTTAGTGTTTATTTTCAGGTAAGTTTCTTTATTATTTGTGTATCAAACAAGAACCTAACAACCCTGAAATTATCTGTCAAAAGATTTTGTTTATCGTCTTGTGATATAAAGTCTGCTGTCACTATTTAGGCTTAATAAAGTTATTATTATCTCGTTAATAAGATTTAATTTATTAGTTGAAAGTATGTGTAACTTCTCCTCACGTGTTATTCCAAATACCTAACTTCGAAATAAATATTTATCGCTTTCCAAACATTATGCAAATACGTAAATATCTAATTCTCATTTAGGAATATTAATTTAATCAAATGATAAGAATTTACATTTTATTGTAATAATCAATTTACTTTTTGTATTTTAAAAGGAATGCTGTCAACGCTGGTTTAAACTTTTAATTCGAAGAGAAACTCGAAGTGAATCAAGTTTAATCTATGGACTTTTCTTGGTTAAATTTTTGTTATCAATAATAATTATCGTGTTAGAACAAGGTTATTTTCACAAGCTTTATCTATCTTACTCTTACTAATATTATAAATGCGAAAGTTTGGATGGATGGATGTTTGTTAGAGTTTGTAGCCTAAAACGCTGAACGTATCTCGATGAATGCCAGTTTAGACATAATTCCAAATTATAAAACTAACTGTATGTTTGTGCTAGTACTTTAATAAAGCTTCTGTTTCATTCGCTAAATTAATAATATAACATTTGCGGTTTCAAAAACGAAACATTTCTCTAGACACTATTATCTTTTATTCTGAGAAAACGTTTAAGCTTCTGTTAGAGGTTCGTATACCTACTTTTTGGGAGTTAAATAAAAAAAAATGTTAGCAGCAGATGTCGGAGGCGCGGGCGCAGGGCCGAGCCATTTGAGCATTGAGGCGATCCGAACTCGGGCCCTTCTTGGAATCACAACAAGCTCGCCGACTTTACTACGCCCGCTCGATCGCTAGTATTACAAAACCCCTTTGTGCTTCGCCGACCCTTCTTATAAGTACGGCCCACGGATCGATTTCTTTTATGAGATACGTCTAACCGACAATTACGATCCGTACTGTAATTAGTTTTACGGATATCTGTAAGGAGAGTAACAATTACTTAACTGGACATTGGCATCAATGCTTCGACAACAGGTATAAAATAAATCAAACAAATTTTACCATCTATATTCATAAAATATATTTTGTTATTTAAAATGCTGTGCGTATTACATTGCGTTGTACAATGTTTTTATAAATCTTGAATAAAAATAGCGGAGCACTACAGTAAAAAACTTAGCAGCTTAAATTGAAAGTTACTGAATATTTAACTTACGGCATAAAAATAAGGAATATAGTTTTAATCCTGATTAGAAGAGTTTGCTAATCCTTGAGACGTTAGTACAGCCGGTATCACAGATCATCCAGACTTCTTCGAGCTGCTTACGTCATCGCTAAGCACGTGGTAAATCAACACTTAAATCGCATTCGCAATTAAAAATACATAAGTTGCCGATACCGGGAACTGAGCCGAAGAGCTTTATAGTATTTATTTTTTCGTTTGAATCGTACAGAGTTTTTTTTTTATTAACTTTGTCATAAGTAGTTTATTTTTATCTGCATCATATGATTTTAAAAGTCTGTCCCACCACTGGCCGATAGTCTCAGATAGCTTAAAAATTACGTCACTGTCAGATAATGTAACAGAATACGATATTTTCATTACATATCTTACACGTTGGTTTGTTATTAGACAATTTACAATTCGGTGGGACAGGCACTAAGTGTTTAAACAACGTCGTTGATAAAGGAAATCCAAACTCTACTGTTACATTGTGTTTCGGCCTTTAAGACAATCTGGTCTCGATGCAAATACTAGGAAAAACCACCGCACTTAATGTGTTATTTACATAAATATTTATAAAAGTATATGTAAATACAAGATGTTCGTATAGAATACATTTTATTACATAGTAAAACTGCACGCAATGTATTTAAGGCACTTTAAATATAAGTTTATTATCTACTTAAACAGTGGTTAGTACTACATATAGAGCTATCTACCATTCGGCAATGTTAAAAGTGTCACCATAACGTATGCAGGTCCTATTCTTAAATGCAAAATAATATAATTAGCTTTCCTGTTGCGTAATTTTGCGAGCTATGTTTATTATCAATTGTCACCGTGCTGTCGGCTAACAGCCATTGTATTCAAATTAACTAGATCGCTGTTTATTACGCGGAAGTTATATTTATATCCAATATTTACTGAAACTATGCTACCTTTAGAAGATTGATAGATTGTGCCATAAATTTATAACGATTGGACCACCTTTCGGATGTATCAGATTTCACATTTTAGGGCCCACTATATTGGCGAATAGTTGAATCTATTTGTGTTGTTGTGCAGCGCATAGTGCTAAATGCAAGCATTCTATTTACGTCAGTTTTACACTGTTACTGTTGTATACAAAATATTTGCCCTCGTTTAATTCCTTAGACATTTCGCTAATTGGTATGGGTACCCAATAAAACTGACCTAAATTTCTTATTCAAACTGTCCTGTCCCCGAATTCGGGCTAAATCTATTGAAAACTAGCTTTGTATATCTATACTAATATTATAAAAAGGAAAGATTTTAATTTATTTGATTTTTGTATGTATACAATTCACGTAGAAATTACTAGGTCGATTAGAAAAATTCATTCACCGTTAGAAAGGTTTTTCTATGAGCAACAAAAGCCATGTTATTTATTATTTTATGATTTCACGAGGTAGAGAAGTTTGTTTATAAACTTTGGTTTAATAATATTACTTTTTTTTACAGTTGGTACTGAGAGCGAGAGGACAGATACTGAGGAGCTGGTCGGTCGCGCGGCTTCTCAGTGCTCGGCGCCTCCAGACCTGCTCCCCAGCGAGGCGCGCGCACTGCTCAACCCCAGCACGCCACCGCCGCTGCCAGCGCGAGCACACGAGCGCACCCGGTTGCCGCCATCGCCGCGCACACCTGACGTGCACGAGGATAAACCTAGGCTACGATTCGAGGTAAGCATACCATATAACTCATAAGTCCAACTGCAGGGGTTTGACACTCGTGCCATAAATGGCACACGACATAATATTTTGGGCACGTCGTAATCCATATTAACGAAAAAATTATGAAGTATCTGCACCATGGAATTATCGTAATATTCTCAGTCAAAATTATTTGATGGCACTTTAATGCATGTTCACCACCCTTAGCACCAAGATCCAAAACATTATGCGTGCGTGTGTGCGTATATCTGTATGGTGAAGTAAGCAAAAAAAGCGCAAGGAACCAGGGCTTTTTAGGTCACGGTCGTACTGTTTTGTTTTTATTACAACGTATATTCGAACGGGTCATTAGTCTCGGTAACCGTCTCGACCAATCAGAATGCCCGTCATGGATGATTGCCGCGAAAATCACCGAGGACTTTTTGTCGCACCGTGTCCCTTAGCACTACAGTTCTAGTAATGGTCCATCGATTCTTAAGATTTTCTTTTTAAATTCCAAGCTGCAAGAGAATAAAAACATCCATTCAATACAATGTCTAGCCGACGCCGTCGCGACGCCGACAAGAAACATTTAACTAGTGTAGATAGATGTTTTGTCGGACATAATGTAACACTGTCTAGCATTAATCCGGGTTAATCGACGTCTATGAGAACACTTTATTTACCATTACTGCTAATTAAAAACATTTATGCGCAGCGCTCGGTGTGCATATTCATAGCCCGACACCGGCACCTTTGTATGAGGCATAAAAGAATTACCACACGGAACCGAGCGATCCGATCGTTCAACGCTTTTAGATAACGAATGATTACTCAATGTTGGTCAATAAAAAGCAACCTGGTTGCTTAGCGATTAAATTACTAGCTATCGGTTCCCAGGTTCAAATCGGGGTACAAGTAATTTATGTGGTTTCATTAAAGTTTGGTTTGAACGGACGTTTTATTTTCTTGCATTCAAGACGAGAAACGGATATTAATAGGGAGAACTTAACAGTATGTGTTTTGGTCTGTTTTTTTATTTTTAACACAATCAAGGTATTAAAACGTGTGTCTGTCATTGCAGGAGTTGACATGCGACGTAGAGCTGCAGCACCCGGCGCCCTCCAAGCAACAGCCGCTACAGTTTTCCTTCACGTTGTACGACCTCGACGGACACGGCCGCATGACTAAGGATGTTAGTATTACACTGTTATAACAACACTAATACCTCAGTACGTTATTTAAAACACGTCATCGTCTTCTTTTATTGACTTTAAACTGGGTGCTACAACTTGAAATGTACAAATTGTTATTAAGCGAAATGTTTTTGTACTAGTAACATTTCCACCATTCAAAGCTTCAATTTAGTAAACTAACATTGAAACTAAAGTAATCTTTGATCACAAATACTAATTTCACACATCATTTGTTCACAGGACATAGCTGGAATAGTGTCAACTATATACGAGTCGATCGGGAAGTCGGTGACCGTTCCGCATTACGGGTCGAAAACTATTCAAGTGCGACTAACGGTGGTGCCCGAGGACGGGCGGCGGCGACACGATCGCGACCGGCGAGAGGGCAGGCGACGTCGGAGGAGGGAACAGGCGCAGACTGCACCCGTCGAGTGTGACAACAGTGATGAAGACCACGAAAGACTATCATTTGACGATGACGCGTCGTCAAAATCTTCGTGCTCCGGAGACCGAAGACCGCAAAGACCTCCGCCTACAAGACAGAAGACCCACCGCCACCCACGCAGAGAGCATCGTGAACACAAACATACCAAGAAGCGCTCCGGCAGCCTGCAGCGGCGCGAACTCCTCGAGATCATACAGGCCAACATGGAAAAAAATCACCTGAGCTTTCAGACTTCCAGGTTGGTTGCTATTTTTTTTTTTTACCAGTTTACACCCGCGACATCGTCCCCGTAGAATTAAAAACAAAAGTAAGTAGCCTATGGGTTGTTACATACATGATTCCAGATGACCTATATCTATGCCAAATTTCATCAAGATCCATTTAGGCTACAAACTGTAACAAACATCCATCCATCCATCTAAACTTTCGTATACATAACATTTGTAAGATATACAGTGATTTTATTTCAGGTTCATCATTCTAATATTAATTATTTACCTAAAATAGACAAAACACGATAGTAAATGAAGTCGTTAAGTTCAATTCCGCAATCGATAGAGTAGTAAATGAGGGAATCGGCCTTTAGACCCGGCCCATTCAATGATATCACGTCATTTGATACATCTCAATGAAATAAACATTTTGCTTAGAAACAACATGTAATTGATAAACATTAGTGAAATGTAGTTTTCAAAACAAAAGTATTCGTATATGCATGTTAACATAAAATTGTTTCGTTATTTCCAGAAAGCCCAGTGACCCTGGCATCGAAGAGGAGATCACGCCCAAACACCAGAAGCATCGGAACAGATCGCACACGATCAGCGAGAAGCCGGCTCATGCATTCCAGAGGATAAAGTGCGATAATTCAGCCGATGGGTACTTAGAGCTAGCTGGAGGCGACTCTAACCTCTGCAGGTACGACCGCTACCTCCACGCAGTCATCTGCTCCTCAACCAAACACGCACATACTGGATATCACCACAAACAAGCACAACATAAGACTAAAGTCCATATGAACAAGCGTTCCCGGTCACACGACCTTCCCGGACAAACACATTCACATCAACCCCGAGTCCTGCAAATTATATTCTTATAGAAATTAATATTGGACTCTGTCTCGACTTTGTCCTCTAAGTGAGTATAAACTGTGGTTACCAAGACATGTACAGATAATGTTTGAATGTGTAAGTATAATTATGGACTATGAATGTGGAACCTAAATATTAAGCTATCAATGAGTTACATCACACATTATCAGTATTTACTACAAATGTAATGAAAAGGAATTAATAGACAGTTATGAATAAAATGTTACTATGTGTGTACAATCTGTATTAAAACAATTCCTATTACTAATATATTTGTATCAGTTTTGTGGAATTTGTACTTATTTTAATAATGTGCCTTATACATTTTGTATAATACAGTAATCAGTTAAGGGGAACCCCCGTTTCGACTGGCTTTTTTACTTGCATATTCACAATTTGTAATTTCAGATGTGCTCATTAATTGTTATATTGTAGGATGTCTCATCTGAGAGTATATAGACTGACTTTTAGTATATAAGACGTAGGTGCTTTGCTATACAGCCTAATACATTTGACTTGTACTTAACTTGAATCTCGTTCTTTTAATCCCATCGATTGACTTGGTAATATTTATGTACATTTCGTTATATTACCAACATCAGTATTTTGTATTAGATATGTATGAATCTCTAAAAACTTTTTTATCTACCTCTAATTTACTTTATTAGTTCATTAATAATTTATTTCGAAATCCTTAACTTTTAAGTAATTTTAAAATGTAAGTTTGTGATAATTTCTTAAGTGATTTAAGTGTTATTGTTTCACTTAAGTGAATGGAATCTGTAAGCTGACATTTATCAAATGGCATGTTTTATTTTAAATTATTGCTTTTAATTGTGGTTTGATTTAAAATGAAATAATACATTGTATTGTGCGCGAGCATTTATTTCCAATGTAAATGTACAGTGTACAAATTGCTCGGATCTTGTCAAAAGTATTTATTATGGAATATAATCATGAGATTGGAGTTTTGCTTTTCATTGATGTCATCTCCCGATTGTCCTTTTTGTGCTTAAAAAAATTACAAGACCGAAAATCATAATTATTGCTGTGAGTATTATTGTTCTTTCCCTTGGTAAGCCACATTTGTTCACCGCATATGTGTCTGGAGATATTGACACCTAAAAAATAACGAGAAATAAATAACCAACATTACACATAGTAAAAGAAATTATGTTACATTGTCTAGAGAAAATTATTTTAAGATAACATACTTAGAGTGTACACCTGTGACTAAACTATCGCAAAACTGTTAAATCGCGCTTTGATTGCTATGAGCTTATGTGGAGGTGCGCACACTATTTGATTTTTAGCTGTGCAACTGAACAGTTGAATTGGCTGCGAAACAATCGACAATCGCACAACTGTTATATGATAGCTTAATCAAAGGTATGCACCTGCTTGTACACTTAGGTTAAGTTATAAATTCTAAACAATTTTACATACCAACATAAACTTCGGATCAAGTCTATTCCTCCATGAAAAGGATGGTACTGAATACTCCAAAAACTCTAAATTTAAATTCTTGTAAGTATGAAGTAATTTACAACCGTGATGCGTATGACCTCCAAATACCGCTCGAGGTTTTAACTTTTCAATTAAATATTTTGTAGATTCTTTGGACAGTGCATCTATTTTTATTCGGAAATTTTTATTTCTATCCGGCAACGGTGGTGCATCTGGTTCAGTACAAACAGCGTCCGATACACGGTACAGTGGGAAATGCTAAAAAAAACTAACACAAGTTAATTTTATTGTTAAACAATTTTATTGGTTAATCTGCCATCAGTTAAAATGTTAATCAGACATGTTACAATATATTTCCAGTATAACACAAGTAATGACAACATTTAAAGTGAACTATAAAGATTGTTATACTTAAACATTGTTATTTGAAATATTTTACTCACCTGCATTATAATAGGACGAGAATTATTAAAATTAACTTGTTGGTTACATTCAACATTTTTTGTACAGTTTATTGAATCTAGAACAAACTATAGTGATCAATATACAAGTTAACAATCATAGACCCCACAATAACATATTTTACATAAATGCACAACTTTATGGAAGACTTTGTATGGAGTTTGCATACCAAAGTCCTGATCTTAATTTACTTTCCTTTCCACTTGTTTTTTTTTTTATAACACAAGGTGGCAAACGAGCAAGCAGCCACCTGAATCCGCCAAATTGGCGAAGCAACCGCTGCCCATAGACATCCGCAATTGCAGATGCGTTGCCTACCCTTATCCGACAGAGGAGGAGATGCACATAAAGAGGATGTTTCCCCTTCCTATGCATCTCCTCTACCGTCTAATCCACTTCCCGTTCCCATCCTTTCCTTATAAGAAAAGGGTGGTAAAGAGAAAAGGACTTAAATTAGGCCTCCAGCACCACACTCATCAGACGAAACACGGAATTGCTTCCATTTCACGCCTGTTTTCTGTGTGGTTGTGGTATTACACCGGGCTTGCCGGCCCATTCGTGCTAAGATGTTAAAGCGAGCACTACCACTATTGTTTTCTTATAAGGAAAGATAGAAGAAAGTGGATATTACAGAAGAGGGTATTTTTAAAAAAGGGGGAATGTTCTCTTACTTTGTGTCTCCTCCTCTAGCTTTATCGTTAAGATGCTTAGATTATACTAAGTTTCTTTTTAATTCTTACCCGAAATTCTATTAATGGAGCGTTTAGCATCAAGGCATAGTTCACATGTATCTCCATGCAGTGCCATTGAGTTAATTAGTATGAATTGACTGCCTTTCAATATAACATGTTGCACTGAAGGTGCTTGAAATAACTCCACAAACCTCTTAGCTGAGTATCTTCTAATGCTGAAAAAAGTATAAAATATCTGAATTATTGCATCAATTTAATTTTAAATTAATTAATATGTAAATAAATAGATTCCAAAAAACTAAATTTTTAGTAAAATCCACAAACTAAGAAGAAATCAAAAACAAAACAAATGTAGGGATTTCGAATGAGCTTTTTTTATTATAAATAATTCACACTTATTATGGAATCCTATATCATGGTTGCCAGCTACCACATGCATCTTTATCTCATCAGGTAACTTGAACAGTTTATGAAAACGGTCCACATAATCTCGAAATTGTTGCTCATTGGTCCATTCACCTTCATCAAAAAGATCTCCTGAATATAAAAATACAAGAAATTATTTAATATAAATCTATTATAACAAATACTGATAAAAAAAATTATTAAAAAGAAGATACCTTGTGTTAGTAATTTGTGACATTATTTATTTAAGGTTTTCAAACAGTTATGAAGCAGATAAATAAAATATGCTCAAACACTAACCTAAAACAAACACTACATCAGGTTTATGTATAGCTATAACAGCTTGGAAGGCTTGCTGCATCTGAAATTCCCGCCTCCATTTATCCAGCCAATGACCCCTAAAAGGGCCCAGCAAATGTGTGTCGGCAAGAATAAAGGCTTTCAGATATTGGCCCTCTATTAGCTTCTCAGATGTTGGCCAATAACACTAAAATTATTATATATTTCTTCCATTGAACTTTTAAAAGATATTGTAATTATTTATGGCAATAATACATTAAACTTACCTGTGCCACCACAACATAATAAATAAGATATTCGCAATAAAAATATGTAAACAGTAAACCTGATATGACTATTAAAATTTTTTGACTCACTCTGCGCATTAACATTGCGATAAAATCATAGTATTACTATTGAAAAGACAGCCTTTAATCGTAATTATCATCGTTTGTTATCGTTTTTATCTTAAGATAAATAGTTTATCGGAATTCGAAGACCCCTTTTTAAGGTGTCAGTTCAATTAAAAACATGTCAAGTTGACATTGACAACCAATCAACTGGCAATACTTTAGTTTTTTTCAACAACGAATTTTTACTGCTTTGGTCTCTTGTACATTTGAGTTGAAAACATGTGAAGTTTCAAGGATAAATAAAAAACAACAAAAAAACAAGCTTTTTCTATCAGCCTCATTTATTTTAAAAAATTATGTTTTACATAATTATAAAATACTTATTGAATATCTTATAAGTACAATAATAATAAAGAGTAGTATCACAAAACATGAGAATAAAGTAACAAAAAAATGCTTATTACTATAATTTTATTATTAGAAATGTAATTAAAATACATTAAAAGTAATCACAATCACAATTTAATAAAATGATAGAGAGACGAAAAATTACATAGATAACAATTAAAATTAAAAATGGTACATTGGTGTAAATATAAATAAATATTTGGTTAGCAATACTTCATGTGATGAAATTGTAATTTTGGTATATGCATACATGTTAAAGGTTTGCCGAATTCAGGTCCATATGAAATCACTAAACTACGACTTAGACTTACCATAGAACTTACTATTCAATAAAAATATTAGTAAATTTACATTAATTTTAGCTTTACCGAACAAATCCATTACAGCGCAGCCTTCGTACTGTTTCTGTAATAGATCTTGTATGTCAATATCTATAGACTCCATTTCCACGCCCATAAACTTCCCTTTTACAGTAAATACACCGTAATGATCAGTCGGCGTGATGTCAAACTGAACATTTTTGAATTGTGATTTTGACAATCCGTCAATTTCAAGCAAAACACCTCTTTCCAGTAATTTAGCACCAGTATATTTTACAGTCAATTTTGACTTCAACTTCTGAATATCCTTACCGGATCTTCTTAAACATGCGTGCACACTCCTGCAAAATAAAAGACTGTAAATCATCAATGAATATAATAAACTAGTTGTTCCCATGCGGCTTCATACGCATGACATTATAAAAACTTTGTTTACATTCCGTTAAATTTTCAATTGCAAACGTCAAAATTCGAATGTTTAAAAATAAACTTACTTTTTGCCCGTATGTAGATTAGCTAGACAAGATTTGATGTACTGATCGTATGATTTACATTTATCTTCGTAGTATTTAGTTTTTTCAATGAGACTTTCTCTGGTGCGCGTGAGTGTGGCGAGAGCGCGGCGCTGCGCCTGCCGGTACCTGCCCTTGTTGCAGAGGTCCAGCGCGATGGACGTCACCAGAGCCTGGTAGCCATCTTCTCTACTCACGTAACCCTCGTCTTCTAGCATTTGCAGATTCCGTCGCAGCTTGGCGATATGTTCGCGTAGAGACATCGCCTCATCAGGCCGAGCTTGACCGGAATAGATGCGTTTTTGCACCTTCTCGTTGTATGAGTCTTGTTGTTCCCGCGTCGTACCAATGCAAAGCGCTTCTAGGAGATGTTCACCTAGAAAAAAGAAAACGTTGAGGAAATTTTTAAATCTATACTAAAATAATAAAGCGTGAATACTTCTTTGTTATGGAGGATGTAAGCAATCACAGAATATTTTTGAATCATTCTTTTATTACCAAAAACCCTATACATTATATAGACTTTAGGCTGTATAATTTCAAGTAGAATAACTAAGGGGGTGCATATATTAAAATAAATAAATATATGAGAAAAAAACAAAAAATTACATACCAATACCAGAAAAATTCAAGGTTGCTATGGTAACTTTACCCAACCAATGGCAAGAGCCTTTGTTATTTGAAAATTCGAATTTAGAGTCTCGGAATGTTATCAATGTTTATTTATGTCATGTTTATATTATTGTAGTTTCTCTTACCATTAAGAAAGGGAATAATAGCGACGCATAACTCTTTAGTCTTGATGAACAACTTGTTGAGGTCCGTCATATCGTCGGCGGGCGCTTGGAACTTATTGACCAGCGCCAGACATACTTCTAACCTTGCATTCTCCTCCACATCCGCAGCTTGCTGGAAAAAAAAGTGCCTTAGTCAAGATTTCCTTTGACCCATGCTAATATTATAAAGAGGAAACATTTGTTTTGTATGAATTGAAATAACTCAAAAGTGGGCAGAATTCAAAATATTTTTCACCAATAAATAGCTATGTTATCATTGATTGAAATAGGCTTTGTAACAATTTTTACTTTTGCTCTGACGAAGACGCAAGAAACAATTATCTTATTCATTTTACTAATATAATGAATGCGAAAGTTTAGATGGATGAATGGACGTTTGTTAAAGTTTGTAACCTAAACTACGGAACGAATCTGGATGAAATTTGGCACAAATGTAAAGGATAGTTTGGAATAAATCCTACTTTGGTTTTTTTTTTAATTCCACGAGGACGGAGTCGCGGGCGAAAGCTAGTAAATTATAAAGTGTGTCCTTAGCGTCAGTGGTTTGTATTACAGCATACTTACAGAGTCAACATCTCTCGAGGCAAGTTGCGCCACTGAAGGCACATCCCCGAGCTCCTCCAGCAAGTCGTTTAGGCGATCATTCGGATCAGGAGCTAAGATATCTTGATATTCCACCAGAAGAGCGTGTGTGTCTACTATTTCCTAGAAAAAACAAACAATCGTCACTATATGCATAGGATAGTTTAATAACAATCTGTAGGACATTAAAAAATTTCTACGATAAGGATAAGGAGGTAAAGTAACTAAGGTCCAAGTACTGAAACGACATTGAATTTTCTAAAAGCGTCTTAAAAGAAAATTCACGCTTTGCAACCAAATTTTATTAAACTTTTCATATCTGACAAATTGTAACGACGCATACGAAGCAATATTTGAGATTCGTATCAGAATTCAGCCGTGTGTGTTCTACAAAGGCCATTTCAAATGTCTTGTCGACTCAAGGTCATCTACAGTTCGGATTGCCGTACATCTGAGCAGCGAAGACGTTTGAATACGTCTATACTTTGCTATAACTAATTTTAGTCCCTTTTCTTAGGAAAGGATGGGAAGGAAAAGTGGATTTGTCGGAGGAGACGCATATGAAGGAGAAATGTCCTCTTTATGTGCGTTTCCTTCAATGAAGGGTAGGCAACGCAGCTGCAATTGCGGATGTGTATAGGCAGCGCTTTCCATTTCGGTGGATTCAGGTGGCCGCTCGCTCGTTTGGCACTTTATGTCATACTAGTTGTTCCCATGCGACTTTATCCGCATAAAATTATAAAAATGCCTTTTATTGTTCACATTAGTCTAATTGCAAACCTTTGCCATCTTGCTTGCTTGATCAACATCAAGGAAGCAAGATTGCAAAGATTGCCAACGCATTAACTTATGGTGTCTTTCCCACATTAGGGTTTTTATCCAAAATTTTTACCCCCTAAGTTTAATGGCGTGAAAATATATAGTCTAAAGCGTGACGTAAGTGTAGGGGTTTTTATTAAAATAAGAATTATTCAAAAATATGCTGTAATAGCCGAGATCTTAGGCAACAAAGAAGTGTGTGTTTACGCTTTATTATAATAGTATATAAGTATAGATACCTGCACCGTGATGTAAATGTGCGGGCGGTGCAGCAGCGTGGCCTCCGTGTACTCGTCGACGGCGAAGTGGTCCTCCAGCGTGCGGCCGCGGCAGCAGCGCCGGAACAGCTGCTTCATCCGCTCGTGGCACTCCACTATGAACGGGTTCAGGCAGCGCAGGTGACGCGACTCCTCGCCGAACTGCCCAACACGTTTATTTCAAATCACACTAATATTATAAATGTGAAAGTTTAGATGGATGGATGGATAAATGTTTGTTAGTTTGTAGCCTAAAGGGCTTAATGGATTTCGATGAAATTTGGCATAGAAGTAGATGATAGTCTGGAAGAACATATAGGCTACTCACGTTCGTTTTTTTTAATTCCACGCGGAAAAAGACGGAAGACAGCTAATTTAAAAACATATCTTTAATATGGTTTTAGATTAACCTTTTAGTGGTTCGTCAACCCGAAAAAGACATTTTTTTATTGAAGACTAAGATAAAATACTCTCTTTTGCGTTTTTAAACATCTTTTTTTAGTCTAAAGCGAATACTTTCGTCCAAGATACAATCCTTGTCTATGTTCACTACATATAGTTTAAAATTATGTTTAACAAATCCCTTACAATTCTAACACAGTTATAATCATCATAAATATCCGTATATTTGAATTTTACGTATAAGTGTCACTTACGCCCTTTTTCGCTGCAGAGAAATGTAGTATCTTCGCGACGGAGGCGAGGTTTTTCCTTTGGTCGGTGGTGAGTCCGGCGCCGTTCGGCAAGTTGATGATATGAAAGGCATCCGGCGCTACGATCGCCGCGTTCAGAAACTGGTAGTAAACTAGATTGCCAATTACCTGGAAATAAAAAAAAATATACTTCTTTAATTAATAAATAATAATTTTGATAGTGTCCAGTGCGACAACTAACTTTAAAAAATCAACTGAACTAGTTTATCTCATTTCCAAAAAATATGACTTCTTTATAAAAAGTTTTGTTTTTTGCTATAAAAAAAAATTCCGTCGAATTATGGGTTAATTTCACGCGAGTCGGTGTAACAATTGTACTAATTTGAAAAGCGTAAGAACAAATATAACCAAGAGAAACAATTTAAACCAATGATGGTTTGCTAAAAATAATATCTAATCAACACGATAAAATAATAATTTTCATATAATAAATGTTTTTAATACTTACTTTAAGAATATCTTTTTCCGGTGTATGTGGAAACTTGGATGTCAACGAGCGATGTAGCACCCGCGACATATAAGTTATACAGAATGGTAAAAGTTCCGTTGAACTTATAATTTTATCCAAAAACATGGTTACGACAGTTTTCAATTGAGTCAACGCGACTTGAAGTCTCGATTTAACTTCTGGATAATTTAAGGCTTCTTCTTGAGTTACTGTATATGGCAGTTTCCTGTGAAATGAAAAATAAATATTTGAAACTAGCTTTCGCCCGTGACTCCGCGTGGAATTAAAAAACACTTTGCTACTAACTCTAACAAACATTCATCCATCCATAAACTGTCGTGTTTATAATATTAGTCGCTTCCCATAGACCTGTATATGACGACACCCGCGGTAAACAAACATATTTAGTTAAAGTAATATGGAATAACTTACGAAATCTGTCCTGTCTTCATTTCAGTTTCATTTCTCCAGGTTTTATAAATTTCAACAGGACCAGTTTCAATGTTTAAATCTTTATCTTTGAGCATCATTTCGACGAGAGGGCCAATGATGGTCTGCAGACTGTTGAGGCCCGACAGCTGCCGCGACAGGCTCACTGCCATCTTCAGGACCAGCGGCGTAGAAGCTATTATGTCAAATGGCTTCGACACTTTACAACTTATCTCCTCTTCTAAAGTAAATCGAAACAGTTTCAGTAACAAATATTCGTCCCTCGCATACGCACCGAAATTGTAAAGACTCAAAACCACATTCTGGAGAAAGAAATTAGTCTTATTTTGTGGTATACAAAATAACAGTTTAGACAAATACGTCGGATTCGTTTGAAGCTCATAAAATAAATGTTGATATCCATCTAGGAGTCTTTTACTCTCTTTGGTGAGAGATTTTAACCCTTTTACCGCCGTCGATATCGTCATCAAAGATCCTTTTCCTTCCCGATTATGAAACACTAGTTTCGTAGTTGAATTATTTTTAACCAAATTGTTCAACTTCAAGCCGTGAGCCGCCACCTCCTGTAAAGCGATACGATTCTGTACGAGCAAACCGATTTTTAAATCCATATCGTCTATTTGCTTCGAAAGTTCCTGGTTTTTCCTTATCGATTGTACTACTTCAGATTTTAAAGTTTGCAATTCGATTTCTCTGTCGTAATCCTCTGTTGCAAAATCTAATATCGGTATGAATTTCTTTACAACTTTTAGCGGCGGGTTTGGTGAATGGAACAGAGACACAAAGGCTCGTCGAGCACGACGACCACGCCATATAGCTTGTATTCTAATTATTTTATGCTCTTGCGCCTTATACCATACCCACGGGTTACGTTTCTTCTCCTGTCTCAATTTGGCTTCTATCGTTTTCATTTTAATTAATGTTCCGTATTTCTTCTGAGCTAGAATTTTTCTCCACCATGCCTGTATCTTTATGATTGAGTCCTCGCTATCTCTGTATAACTTCTCTTTTATCGTCGCCTGCCTCACCAAGTACCCCCTACAATAAGCTTGAAACTTCGTCAGTTTTTTCTCCGACAGTCCTTCTGATTGCGAATTTAATTGCTGTTTGTTTGTCTTCTCTATAATTACGCTGACATCTTTCTTTGTTAAATATCTATGATGAGGAACGAAATCTTTAGGAGTTATCCAACTGTAGTTGTAAGACTCGATGTCTATGTATACAGTATTTCCTGCTTCAGTATGACAAACGATCCACGGACAAATATAATGCCGCCGTTTCCACAGAGCTTTAGTAAACTTATGAAAATATGCATCCACACATTCTTCTTCAATGACTTCGGAAACCGAAAGTATGGGCGATGTTAAAATATTCCAAAATTCGTTAACATTATTTTTAATACAAGCCATATTCAATTGTACTAAAGCTTCAGTTAACTCCTTAGCTTTTACTGATTCGGCGTGAACTTCGTTTACTGCATTTAAAATATCATCATACCAAAGATTTTGAGATTCTTTCTGATGAAAAATCTTTTTCAATGTCCGCATGCAGAGATGGTATTCTTCTTTATGCAGAGTCACGGGCAGTTTTAATACGGGATTCTTTAATAATGTTATTAGCGTCGTCGTATCTTCTGTTGATACAGTTTTATTGATACTGTCTATCAAAACAACCACTGAAAAGAACAGACAACATAATTTATAAAAACTCTTTTAAAAATTTGCAGATTTCCTCTAAAAATAATACTTACATTCTTCATTATCGTCATCCTTAATATTAACCATTTCAATCGCATCACGAATATCGTCAAGCGTTAATAATGGGCATTGAAATTGTTCTTTAAATTTAACTTGCAACGCCGTCACCAACGCTGCGAAGTACCGACGTCTACAATGTGGTCTTAAATTTTCCAAATTTATCTGATTAGAATTAAGAGAATTCCATACAGCAGCTTCATCTCCCATCTCAACAGCGCGAGATATGTACGCAATAGATGATAAATACGCCACCGAAGCTGCGATCTCATTCTCATTTAGATTCCTTTCCAATTCACATTTCTCTAATCTCATCTCTTCAAATAATAATGGCATCGCAAACTTGTCAATGTTCATATTCAGTCCTAACTTCGGGTTTTTTAATGCAGCGTAAAGATCATTCGGACTGCCTTCGTCTAATGATTTATTAACAACACCGATCGCAGATTTATGATCTTTATGTTCAAACGCTTTTCTATTCCCTTCGTTGATGATATTTTGAAATATCTTGTGCCAATTTGTCACACTCTCCACATCTATATCTTTGTTACTTTCGATAATTTCTTTCACAACATCACAGTAAAAATCTAAATTACTATATTCGTAATTGTTGATTTTAACCCACTCCTCGTTGAATGTCTTATGCAAACTGCTTATATCATTATGCTGACATGCTGAACATAACTTTTTCCATAAATATCTGAAATTCGTTGCAGTTATATGACCTTGAATTTCAACAACAGTCAACATTTCGTCAAAATCATCTGGCACATAACTTTCGTTTAGGGAATGGTTGAGTGCCACCTGGATTTTCTCATGTTTTGCATTTTTTAAAACTTCCTTATATACCTCTATAAGTTGATTTTGTACATATTTGAGTTTTAGACTTGGATTTAGTATAGCTGTGGTGATTGGTTTTTCTGTGTCTAATAAATTATTCAGTTCAACGACAGCATCATTTAATATTGTATTATTATCCACATTGTTTCTTGAAAGGATGCCACCAATTTTTTGGAACATTGGAAGAGGATGTTTACAATTTTGTAAATCTTTCGATACTGAATCCAATTGTTCATCTGAAATGAAATTAGAAAATTGAGAACTCAATTTTTTAATTAATCTAAATACAAAAGTTGCTACAATACTAGTCAAAAGGTAAATAATATTTCTATCCAATCAAAAAGCTGTGTGTTCAATTCCTACATTTGACTATATTAGTGAATCCTAGGTCAATACCACAGCTTACTTTCAAATTTAAACCCTAAATCAAAATAATCATCATATATTATAAATTAATACCAACCTGTGAATACTGCTTTTCCAAACACATCATGTATAAGTGGAGCTTTTCCAAGCTTGAATAAATGTGAACTAAGTGCATGTATACAATATATCACCCTTGGCATATTCTTTTTGTCATAAATATCTGTGGTCTCTGGCTGAAAAGTCTGAAAACCAATACAAATATATAATACTAGCTGTTGCTCGCGACTTCACCCACATGAAATTAAAAGATAATAAAAAAACATAGCCAATGTTATTATGACAATAGTTAGGACATATATTGACTACTTAATTTTGTTTTTTTTCTTAATTCTACATGGATGGACTGGTAGGCAAAAGTTAGTTATATATAATTCTTTCATAATAGCATAAAATGTACTAACCACAGGCAGCTCTGTCCTCTTTAGCACTTGTAAAAACTTATTTATGTTGTCAGTATGTTTAAATTGTAAACCCATTATCTGAAGAAGAAAAAGTTATTCATTATATATGATTTTTAGTTAGGATAAAATATAATACAGTTCTATAAAATTCATGTAGAGTATAAAATAGAACATGACAATTAAAATAATTAGGCAATAAGTATGAATTTAACATAAGATTATTTTAGTCAAAGTTTTTATATATCAAGTTTAAATGAATTGGAATCACATAAAACTTGACATACCTCAGCTTATTGGACCTATAAAAAACATAATGAAAAGAGAAAACAAAACATTTAATAGTATAGAAATTATAAAGCTGCAATAACATGTTTATTGGTTTTTCCCACAATTTTCATTAGTTAATGACCTAATCTCGATTGTGTTGATAGCTTAATTTGTTTTTAAACTTAACAGAAATAAACAATGTCAGATGTTCTCCTACTTAATATCAAAATTTGTAATAATATAAGTTAAGGAATAATAGTTACCATATATTTAAGATTTTTTAGAAAAATAACTTTTTAGGCCATTTTAGAAAAACAAAAATAATTGGCATTATACCTAGTTAACTTTTCTTTATCATATTTACAAATAAGATGCATAATCATACAATTTTGTCTTCATTCATTAACTAGTAAAAATAAATTGATATAAATGTTCAATGTTACAAAATAGGTTTACCTTATATCGCCTCTGATCAATATCATAGATTTTATTTAAAGGCAATAATTCAGGAGATATGAAATTTCCTAATTTAGCCAAATAAACCCCGTTACGAAGACATTCTTCAAACTCTACAGGGTGAGGAAGTTTCTCTTTCAAACATGCCTCCATCCAAGTTTTAGCTTCTTCAAGTCGACAAAGATACTCGTAAGCTACAGTCCTTTCTCTTATAATATCCATTTCCTGTCCAGTTTTGCGGACATCTGTATCACCTAAAACCAATATATCTAACATATGAACTGTTAATAATTTCGGAATTTAACGTAACATCTGCGTAATTATTATTAAACATTGTTTAAGTTTCATACTTACAGTCGTCGATTTTTCCAATAAATGTTTCTCCAGTATCGTTTCCCATGGTTATTTTTATTACCGTAAATCAGTCAAAAATTGATTCTCATGATTCATCACTAATTATGGTATAAAAGAAATACTTAAAAACTTGAAACACGATGAAAGTTATTTAAAGCAAAAGCAAAACATTCGAAACGATGTTAACCGTTAATGTCAAAGAACAATGTTGCACAGATAGCAGATATTGTTTTGTTGGTATTTGCAGATCAATAATAGACAAAAGAAAACTGGTTCAGTACCTTGCAGTAGACAACTAGACCTATAGATGTACAAGATTCTTTTAGCAGCCGGCAAATTTTATGAAAGTGACATTTAATGTCAGGGTAATAATGACATAGTTTGTCAGTTCACTTCGCCTCTTTACTTAACGTAATTTGTGTGGTTTCTTAATGTTATTCCATGAAAAGAAATGATGAAAGTGCCTAAAAGTAGTATCAGGGAGGTTTTCTTCAAAGTGGAAGATATTTTTATCGCGGAAAAGAAGTAGGGGGTCCAGTAACTACATTTGAAAATGTGAATCATTGTGTCTGTTGTGACGAAAGTGTGATACCATTAGTTAACTCAAGAAATTCTCTGGCCTAATAGATGCCTATTCTCAAGGGGACGCATGATAATATGATTAGTTTTGCAATTTCGTAAAATTGTTAAACAATAATTGACTTATAGATATTTTTCTGATAGTTGTTTTATTACCTATTCATTTCAAATTGCAGTGACCGAACCCTTAGTTGTAATGTGTTTAGAGCAACTGGAAGTATTTTACTTCATGACAAAATAAACAAGGATTTTGGTTTTTAACATACTTAATTACTCACGTAATAAGGAAATTACTGTGAGTAATCAGAAATATAACAAGAAACTGGCTGTCTGATGATTTTATACCGCATCGTTTCGTTTAAACCACGGGGCATAAGTACCACATAGTTTGTACTGTGCGTAATTGTAAACAACAACCAATCATTAAGATTTTTATTATTCTGTAGATGGCCACTAAGTAAGACAGTTTCTGTTATGTTAAGACTATTCCTTCCCTAACTGTCTCAAGAGAGTGCATTGTTAAAAGTTTTCTCCAAAGATTTTTACTTATGGAGTCTTCTAAGCTACAAACGAAGTCTGGGGCATTTCCTAGTTACATTGTGAAGTACAAGTACTTCATTTACAATTTGCGTTTTCGTTTCCAAAGGAAAGATTTTTCCTTTAATGCGGACATATTACCTTGCTGGTAACCCTAATTGCCCAGAGGCGCCATCCTGTCAATGTCAAAAAGGTGCCACAAGAGCCTTGCGAGACTATACTCTTATGTTTCCACTGACAACTAAAAATGGATGGCCTAATAGATGCCTATTGTATTTTCGTCATTTTAGCGCTGGTGGTCTTGTTTTGCGGTAGTGAGGCTTCGAATTAATTATAGAGAAAGAATTAACTGTCGTTACCATAAGCAGGCGCATTTCAATCGAAACGAAGCTATCCTTATCAAGTAAATAACTATCCCTTTATAGAGGTCAGTGGCATTTTCTATAAAAACTGATAAAATAAATTCAAGTCGATAATGGACCAGTTTCTATTGAATGAAGGATGCTGAAATTATTAAAGCAAACGGCTTGAAATGCGCATATTGTGAGTGGAACAAGTTGAAGAAATTATCGGAAATCTTATTATAATTTAACTTAAAACCTCTTGTAACGTATTTAAAGGTTAACAATTACAATTTAAGAAAAAACAAGGTGACAAGGATTTAATTGAATTTAGCGATTAATCGAACTAGTAAAATAATTTAGATTGCGAAGTACTTTATACTTTGTAATCTAAAGAAGACTTCGGACCTAGATGTATAAAGGAAATAATAAAACGTAATGGAAGAAGAATACGAACCAGGTGTTGTTTATGTCTGTAAATGTGTTTGTCCAGAGTCTTCTTCGGAAAGGGTAGCAATCTCTGCGCATAAGAAACGTATTTTAGGCATTGTTTCTGAAACTGAAAATTATTTGCGAGAACGTAGAATCCCTCAACTGATAAGATTCTTAATATCGAAGATTTTGGCACAGGAGTCTGATAAGCCGCTCTTGTATTTAGAAAAGCTTCTGGATGATTGTATGCTATTTCGTGCGGGTGTTGGAGCCGCCCCTGTTTTATACGAAAATAGGTAAAGTGGTAGTTATATAGTTCAATATATAATAGTTCAAAGAAGTTAAGATTTTTATATAAAGGTTATACATGATGTGTGAGTTATTTTTACTATAATTTGCAGGCATCTTGAAGCGGTAATTAAAAGTTTTGATCCTGGACAGCGAGGATGGTTAACTGCCGGTCAAACTCGTCGCCTTTATGCAACTTTGGGACTTGCAATTAAAGATGAATTTAATGAAAGTATGCCGTGTGAGACGATATTTAAAAAAGTTACCGAGGCACAAGAAAATGAATTATTTGATTTAATATCGGCTGGAATGGATGATTACTGAAAGCTTAGAAACGCTCAGAAAGATTCTTAGAAGCCCACCTTTCTTTTTTTTGCTACCTTTCTTTTATGTTGTTTGTGCAAAATATTTGCTTCAACTTTTGTTATGTCTTGAGTCAGTGTAGTAGATTTGTTTGAATTAATATATCCTCACTTTGAATCTTAAAACTTTACTTATAATGTAGATAAGAGTTTAGAACTTTACCGTACTTTAGCGTAATATAATATGGGCAACTGGGGGCATCGCCTTCATGACATAAGATCAACAATGCTTTTAGTTTTTAACGTACATATTTACTTTCATAATAAAAAAATTATTGTGTGTACTCAGAAATATAACGAACTAACCACTGGGCATATTACATAGTTTCTACTCCGCGTTACAGCAAGCAATCATTAAAAAATCTGTTGTTCTCTAGATAAGCATTTTTCAAGACAATTTCTATAATCCAAAAGTTCTTTAGGTATAGTGTCCCCAACAAACGAAGTCAAGAGCATTTCCTTGTTGCATTGTAAGGTTGTTGTAAGGTACAATACCTTTACAATATGTAGTACAGTTCCTTTACAATATGCGTTTTTTTTTAATAAAAAGGGAACCTTAAACCATATTTTACATCCTCTTTGCCTTAAACCTTACCCCTTGCTGGTAACCCTAAATGCTCGCAGACGCCCTCCTGTCAATGTCAAAAAGATGCCACAATATCCTCAGGGCAATATAGTACTACAAGGATATTGTGGAACCTTTTCAAATAGAAACAAATACTTCTTTTAGCTTAACCATTTATAGTGGTCAGTTTCTGCTCCCCTATTGGTCAAAACATAACGCTGTCAAAATTACATTTTCCGACTGCAATAACATCTTTGTTGAACTATACGCCCTTTAATTTTTCAGTTATCAACTTACCAATTACTGAGTGGAAATTATGGAAAAAATCAAGTGATATGATATAAAATCTTACATAGTTAACTAAGAAATATGTTTTGCCGCTAAATATGTTGCAATTTAAGAGTTCTAGTGCAGCAAAATTGCATTTGTCTATGTTTAAAATTGGTGAAATATAAGGACTTTTGATGTGGATTGCAATTGCACCTAGACATAGCTGTATAAAAACATCATAAATCAATAACTGAACCAGTTGAGCTACTGCGCTGCTGCGCTTCTGCGCGCTTACACCTGTGGATGTAGGGCACAAAGAACACCTAATCAATGAAAAGTGGTAGTCTTAAGCCTGGTATTCAGATAAAGACTTAATTGAAATAGTGAAATCGGAGAGTTATACTTTATTGTTACTTGATTTAGTACAAGTGTATTATTATGAGTGATGAATCTTCATATCTCATTCAAATTTTGAAGTTACTTAAAGTATGAATTTCTTAATTGCAGAATTAATAAAAATGAATCCATTAAAGTTATCAAGGGTTGATTTTGGTATCCTTATACATCTTATATTTTTGTTTTCAATTTTTGACATATATTTTAAATCTCCGGTGGTCAAAGATGTTTTACCCTATGAACCGATCCATGAGCCAACGTCAAATCGACTTGTTCTTTTTGTGGTGGATGGGCTACGAGCTGAGACCTTTGTAAATCACACAACTATGCCATGTCTAAGGTAAGTAAAAAATGTCTAGTAATAAATGTGTGATAATGTCCAGCTTTTATGTAAAATTTGTTAAAATTCAGGACCATTGCTAACACAAAGGGAAGATGGGGAATATCTCACACCCGAGTTCCCACGGAATCCCGGCCTGGGCATGTTGCCATCATTGCTGGTTTCTATGAAGACCCCTCGGCAGTCACCCAAGGGTGGAAGGATAATCCTGTTGATTTTGATTCAGTTTTCAATAGAACAAAACATACCTGGGCCTGGGGAGCTTATGATATAATGGACATCTTTACTAAAGGAAATGTTGATGAACACATTTTTGTCTCCAAATTTGATCCATATGATAAAACATTTAGTGCTGACAAAAGTGCCCATTTGCTAGATGAATGGGTTTTCCGGCATGTAAAAGAATTTTTCCATGTTGCTGAAAATGATGAAGATATAAAGGAGAGATTACATTCTGATAAAATGGTATTGTTTTTGCATTTACTAGGCACAGACACTTCCGGTCATACTGATAAACCAAGAACAAAGTAAGTACCCAAATTATTAAAAATAAATTTTGACCCATCTCATTATTGTGTAAGACAAGTCTTGAATGTTGTCCATGTTTTTTAAGTTTAATATGCAACATGCAAGTGATGGGAACCACTATTTTAATTAAAATGTTTCTATAAAATATCTGTCTTAAATTTTAGTTTGATGGATTGATGTTTGCTAGAAGGTATCTCCCATATGGTTCAACAAATCTCGATGTAATTTGGCTTTTGGACTTTTCCATTCCATACGGACAGAGTGTAGTCAAGAGCTAAAATAAAATGTATGTACTTATAAAAAACTTATTGTTAAATTAATTCTATTTTGGTTTTTCCATACAGGAATTTCCGTAAAACGGTGGAACATGTGGACGTAAATATTATAGAAATAGAAGAAATGATCAGGGCATTTTACAAAGATGATGGTAAAACAACCTTTCTTATGACTTCTGACCACGGGATGACAAATTGGGGTGAGTTTACAAAACGTTATAAATAAGTAGTAATTTTAAGTAAATTTATTTGAATAAACAGAAAAGTACATGTTTCTATATTTCATGATATTGTTTACTAGGTTCCCATGGTACAGGCGATGACCATGAGACAGAAACACCGTACGTAGTGTGGGGAGCCGGTGTACAACAAGTTAAGCATGTGACTAATGATGCGGAAACTATAAATATGTCCTTGGAACATAGATATGATATAGAACAGGCTGATTTGGCACCATTGATGTCAACTTTTCTATCAATTCCAGTCCCAGTAAATTCTGTTGTATGTATATAGATATTTTTTTCCAATTATTATCTCCCTTGTAAATGTATGAATTGACATTAGTTTTTTTGTACATTGTAATATATATAAAAAAATTATTTATATATAGAATACTCCAAATTTAGTTCAGGATAGCTTCAAGTTACTACTCTATAATATTTTTTTAAATAGTTTAACTGTGCTTTAGTGTTATACTGACATATTTACATATTTTAGGGCAAACTTCCAATTGATATCTTAAACATGACATTACCAAATAAAGCCAAAGCGATGTACAGCAACAGCAAGCAACTCCTATCTCAATACAATAAAAAGAAACAAGATGTTGAAGAATATGTTGTTAATATCTTATATACACCCTACAACCCATTGAACTCGGAGAAAATTGAAGAAATCACAAAATTCTCACAGAAATTACTCAATGAACAACAATATGAAGAGTTGATTCTATTCAGTGAAGAAGTTATGAATTTAAGTTTATCCGGTCTGAATTATTACCACAACTATTATCAGAAACCTCTTTTGATTGCAACAACATTGTCTTTCCTCGGCTGGATTGTTTGCTTGTTTAATATGTTAGTAGAGGACAATGTTTATTCTCTCATTGAAATGTACAAGCTAAAATGTGCCAAGCCTAAAGAAAGTTGTATACTTAGATATATGATTAGATTTGCAACATCAACATTGTCTATTGTGACAATAGCTCTTATATATAGTAAGTTATTTTCTATTTAATAATGTAACTTTTGAATTGTTGTCCCTAATATGAATTTAATGTTTTCAGTGCAAAACTTACCAATCCTTTACTATCTATTTTTCTTAACACCAATTGTGCTATGGACAAATGCTTTCAAGTATTACAACCTCTGGGTCTATACAATCACACTGTTGAGAACCTACAAGGTTGTTTCAGATACAATAATTCAAGTCGTTTGTTATGCACTTGGATGTCTGGCAATGGTAAATAACATGACTTATTTAAACCCTTATTTGAAACTGTCAGTTATTAATATTGATAAATTTTTTAGGGCTTATCACTTACTCATAGATGGATGTTGAGTATTCCACTAATCGGTATGGGTGTTTGGCCATGTTTTTCCACGTCACGTAATTTAGTACCTTTGCCGTTACATGCGTTTTGGATGTTGGGATGCATGTTGCTTAGCTTCTTCTCTTTTATGCCAGTGGTGGGACGTGAAGCTTACATTGAATTGGTGTAAGTACATGATTCATCACAATTTGTACATAAGCCGACATAATCAAAATATTCTTATTAGATTAGTGGTCGCTTGCGACTATCCAGATTACCGGAACGAACCCGGCTTTGCGGACAGACAAATTTATTTTAAAGGATTTAAAAAAAATGTAAAAATATAGCCTATGTTAATTGGTGATAACATAGCTTTTTAATGGTGCATGTCTAAGTGCAAGTCCTGTAGTTTTTGAGTTATTTCAATACACACAAAAATCCAAAAATACAAATCCTTCCTCTGTATATTGGTATAGATATAGATTGGTTTTCGTTACCAACCATGCAAATACATCATATTCACGAAATATCATTTTTTAATTATATACAGACATTCCAGTTTTATTATATTTAGAAATAAGCGAATGCCTTTAAAGTGCGTACATATTGTAAATTTTATGCAATCGATTTTTTACAGTATACATGATTTTTTTTAATTTTATTTACAAGTGTCTTTGGAGCGCACGTTTTATATTTGATTACTTTAAGGCGTTTAGGTGTAATGTCGGTCAAATAAACACCATCCTGGCTTTCCTGTTTATAGTAGACCATAGACCTAGAGGCCAGGATGGAGTTTGAGTTGTGCGACTTTGTCTAAGAAATAATTAGGCGTATCGTAGACCTTATGAGGCGGTATGGTTGCTTTGTGAAAAATCTCCTTTAATTTTTTTTGTTGCAGTATGATTGCTGGATGTTTTTGGATGATTTCAATGTTGATACTTACAATAATTTGGAAAGACAGTCGCACAAATAGAAGGGATGTGATAGTAACTATGATTCAGTTTTCTGTATTGGCCCTATCTATGTTCATAGTAACTATACAAGGTCATCGACATGAGCAAAGACTTGCACTATATGGTTACCTTCAAACAATGTGTTGGGTTATATTAGGTAAATATGAATTTTTATTTAATCTTTTTGTTGATTTTTAAAATGTTTTCATAATAATGCTAGATATTGACAGTTTTTTTTAGGAGAGTATTTTATAAGTTAACTTTAGAGTTTAAGAATCAAGAATTTGTTAAGTATTTAGTTTGTATAATGGTAAAGTTATACAGTTTAACAGTGGTAGAGCCCGCTTTAACAACTGTGCACTTTAGGGCCGGCTGGCCCTCAGCAATACCACGACCACACAGAAGACAGGCGTCAAGTGAAAGCATGCCCGCGTGGCATCTGATTAGTGTGGTGCCGGAGCCCTAATTTTAGTCTCTTTACCTTTCCATCCTTTTCTTAGGAAAGGATGGGAAGGAAAAGTGGATTTGACTTCGGAGAGACGCACAGGAAGGGGAAATATTCTATTAATGTGCGTTTCCATCTCGATTAACGGTAGGCAACGCATCTGCAATTGTGGATTCCTATGGGCAGCGGTCGTTTTGCCATTTCGGGGAATCAGGTGGTCGCTTGCTCGTTTGCCAACTTATAATAAAAAAAAGGGAAGTGTTTGACCAGAAAGTTGAACTTTTGTGTTTTAAGTGTTGCTTATGGTGTTATTTGGTTATTGAGTATGTGTAAGTAGTGTCTGTGTCTGTGGGCAGTGGTGGCGGCGCTGCTGCCGCTGACGGTGACACGGCGCATGAGCAGCCGGCTGCTGGCGGTCAACACCGCCGTCGTTAACATCTACCTGCTGCTGGCCGTCGCACACGAGGCTCTCTTCATTGTCGTTCTTATATTCAACATCACCAGCTGGATGGCCATCGAATTCAAATTCCTCAATTTGAAAAATGCCCAGGTATGGTTTAACATTGCCTTCTTCATTTTGCAGAAATGTAATAATTATAAACGCGAAAGTCTACATAAATATTTGTTAGAAGATATCTCGTTTAACAAATCTGGAGGAAATCATACTAATATTAATAATGCGAAAGTTTATATGCATGGATAGATGTTTCTTATAGTTTGTAGCCTAAAGGGCTGAACGAATTTCGATGAAGTTTTGTATGGATGTAGAAAATCGTCTGGAAGAACACATAGGCTCACTTTTGTTTTTTTAATTCCACGCGGACGGAGTCGCTTGCGACAGCTAGTATAGTATAAATGTAGAATATAGTCTGAAACAACACTTCAATTTTTGTTTCCAGCTTACCGATTACACATTTTCTAAAGACGGCGAAGAATTGGAGATAGCTTTAGCACCAGCTTATAGAACCCTCACCAGACATGACTTCCGACGGGCATTCTTCTTTGTATCCTTTGCCGAATATTAAAACTGTTTTGTACTTTACATGTATGAAAAAATTTGTATTTTTGTATGTATTGAAATAACTTAAAAGCTATTGGACCGATTTCAAAAAATGTCACCATTAAAAAGCTATGTTATCAGTGAGTATAGGTTATATTTTTATTATTTTTTTAATTTCACGCAGACGAAGTCGCGAGCAACAGTCAGTTTTCAATAAAAGGAATTATATTTTTCTAATGTTATGTATTTCTATTGATATATCTTTTCTGAACCCGAAATCAGACAATGTACATTTTCCTGGCGTTCTTCGGTACAGGAAACATCGCTTCTTTGAACTCATTTGAAATACGCTGGGTGATATGTTTCACCACCTCCTACCAGCCCTTCATCATCACAGGTCTCGTGTTATTGAAGACCCTGATACCCTTCCTCTGTGTCGGTTGCACCTTCAAAGCGGTGCAGCATATCACAAAGGTATGCTAAACTTGTTTTAAACATATAAACTTAAAAGTACGCGCTTTTAACTAAACTATCGTATAACAGTTGTGCGATTGTCGATCGTTTCGCAGCCAATTCTTTTTTGCACAACTAAAAATCGAATAGTTTGCTATATAAGCTCCTTTCTCTTTCTCTCTCTCATTCCTCTATAGGAATCAAAGCGAAACTAAACAGTTGTGCGATAGTTTAGTCAAATGTGTGCGCTCTAAATTATAAATTTGTGTCATTCCAATTGTTAAATTACGTAAACGAAGCAATGTCAAATTTAATAAAATTAGAGTAGCTGAAAGCTTAGTTTTGGGAGAAATTTATAATGGAAATATTTTTAAAATTGAGTTTTTGATGAAAATATTTGGGTTCTAGATCGCTATATCTATATCTACAATTAATATTAAAAAGAGGAGATTTGTATCTTTTGATTTTTGTATTTGATTCATATAAAAAACTACTGTACCGATTTTAAAAATTCTCTCACCATTATAAAGGTAATTTATCTGTAATACGGGCTATGGTTTTATTTTTTTTAATTTCTCGCGGGCTAAGCGCGTGCCACAGCTAGTAAGATATAAACTCTTAGTGATGAGTTCATTTCTTAATTAATATTGGCATATGTTGACCGATAGTTCTAGAAAGGTCACTTGCATTAATCCCGATAGTTACGCAATTAAGAGGGAACAAACTAACAGTGCTTTGAAACGTTGTGCAAAGTTTTTTGTTAGTAATTTTTTTTTAACATTACAGGCGTCGCCGGAATTTGTTTTCACGATTGTGTTGATTTATTCCAACATCATGGGTACGCAGTTACTTTACTACGTGAAGAATACTGGCAGCTGGTTGGAGATAGGCACATCGATATCTCAATTTGTTATTGTACAAATTATAACAGTTTTCATTGTTATAATAAATATAATATCCAAGATATGGACCGAGGAGGATATGTACAGTTTCGCCTTTAAGATATTCGGAAAGACAAAAAAGAACGCTTAAATAATTTTTAAATTTGCATGTTATTTAATGGTTAGGTTTTTTTTACTTTTGTTAGGAGAATCATTACAATAATAATGACTCACGACTGGTGTTTACGACTGATTTATTTTAGTATTATCGTATGTATAATGCGTTTTGGAAGTTCGTTGGAAGTAAGAATTACAGGTATTCTATTATGGCCTAAGGCATTTTATATTGGAACAATTATAAAACATATATATTTATAGAATTTGGTCGATATGCAGTTATGATTTTATTTTTTACATAATTAACAAATTTAACTATAAATGTTCAATTAATTTTATTTAACATTAAAACATCAGTATTATGGGTATTTTTGAATAGAATATTTTAAAAGGAATAATGATTTAAGCCTCTTCCGTGCGGAGAAGATAATATGAGACTTCTACATTCAATATTATCAGAAGATAGATATCGAACACATTCCTAGTCATTAAGTACATAAATAATAAACGCTTGAGTAATCATTAATTGTTGTATTTTACACATTTTAACGTCGATGTCGTAGTTAAAGCATTTAAACTTCAATACAAATTAATGTGTCGGTAGAAATCTAGATGAATGGCGCTATTTGCTCAAAATATATCAAATTTAAACATATTTGTATAGTAGACAGGTCATTTTTAAGTTAACATCCATTTAATTATTCATATTGGTGTGAAAAAATAGGGCAATTAATTCTTCATCATTCAATTCTGTAGAATAATTATTAACTATAGACCAGAGGCGGATTATCGCTAAAGAGGAATACGCATGTATAGGTGAAATCAAACATCTCGGCGGCTCGGAACATCTCACGATTTACTGCGTAGATCACAATTGTAGGTGTGACAACTTTGAGCCGTTAAAATTATTGAAATGGTTAATACTTTATGCTGTAGAGATGTGCCACCAAAGTATTGAGAATGCGTAGTTCGAAAATTGGCGTAACAATCCTGTCCAGGGCTTCCTAAATGTGACAGCAAGATAGAATAATTATTTCACCGTCCGAGTGAACTGGTAGTGATTGTAGGTAATTTTTTTTCCGCCATCTAAGGCGTCGTGATCATATGTAGTACCTAATCCGCCTCTAAATAGGGTAAACAGTTTTTCTCTAAATGTTCATTCTTAGACAATATACCAACTCACATTAAGATGCGAATTAATATACATACTTTACAAATGTTAGAGGTATTAATAATATAGTTATTAACTGTCCAACTGTCGCTCTCGCTATTTCAAATAGACTGCTTAAATGCATTATTTCTTCTCTATGTAAAGTTAGATTGCAATAGATATAAAATTAATTAACATATCCAGTTCCTGTTTTATTGTTTTTTATACCTTTATAAATTATTAAAGTCTTTTAGAAGTTTTTTTGGAGTGTTTTGTAATTATAGACCATAGACATGGTTTGTGCCAATGATTTCGGTGTACATTTTTTCTTATTTTATCTGTGATCTCTTGTACTTCCAGTACTTTTTATGTTTTTCAATAATGAATGTAAAATATACTTACATATGAATGTTGTGCTAATAAATAAATGTCGTCCAAAAAGTGGCGTTTTAATCTTTTGTATTCATTATTTTAGAGTGAGACTTCATCATTACAAAAATAATTAACGGAGTTTTTCAAGTTAAAAATTTAATTGATTATTAAAAGATTTAAAATTTATACATAATATGTATATTTTCCTTAAAATTAATAACAATGTAGATCACATATAAAGCTCAAAATCCATTCTATTGGAACTATAAAACTGACTTTCTTTGCCATGTCTCCGAACCCATACACCACTTTTGAAATAACCCTCGGAAGACCACTTGTGCATCTGTTCTGTGGAATGAGGTCCTGATAACTCATCATCGTCTTGTTTCCATTTAAATTCCCATTTAACTTCTTCAGGTCCATCATCTTCATTATTTTCTGATGGTACACTTTTATTCATACTTTCTTTTTCTTTCTGATCAAAATCGTCAGCATACATATCTAATTCAGAATCATCCTTTTTCTTATTATCTTTGTTAATTATAGAGCTGATTTTCTCATATGTTTCCTGATATATATCCATGTTCCCGGTTTTGGTTAATATTTGATTGGCAAGTTCAGTTATTCTTGTAACAGTTTGGCTACCTTCATCAACAATGCCTGCTTTTTTTCGTTTCCAGCGCTCCGCACTTGTTACTTTTGAACTTGCACCTGAAATACATTAGAGTATATAATAAGACAATATATACAGGGTATATTGATGAACAATGAACATGTAAAATTATAAGAATGGTCAAATTCTTACCAAGGCGCTGTATTGTTTTTGCAATAGTTTCTTTTGGCTTCATATGCTGTAGAATTTCTTTATAATTACTGATTATATCAAATTTTTCTTCAACTACACCATCATCACTATCTGAATCTTCATAAGGATCATCACCATCTTTGTGAACTTTGTATTTGTCTTCAGGCCGACCTTTAACCTTCACCCAATCAATGTTGTCAAGCCAGCCATCACGAACCTCTTTCTCCTTCTTCCAATGATAGTGCCCTGCTGTATCAAAGTGTCCTTCCTCAAGTTCTTCCCTCATGTTGAAGGGGGTTATTGTGATCTAGAAATAAAGATATTTAAATTTTTTGTTATATCCAACGAACCAAAAACAGAAGCCAGACTGTAGCAGCTAGGTCGACAACTGCCATTTTTTTAGACAAAATTGTATTGATTTCAACATACTCACTTCACCTTCCAATCCCGCTACTCCTTCCTCTTCTCCTTCAATGTCATCAGCATTAAGTACGTTTTTTCTTTCTTCTTCTGCACCACTGTCTTCTTCATCAGAGTCTAATGAGTGCTTTTTCCCATCCCGCACTGTTTGAGTCGGTTCTTCGGTGTCGAATGCAGCCGAAGCGGACCTTTTAGCCATTTTTTCTTACAGGTAATGCTGTGATTTTTCAAATTTAAGCCGGTGAGTATGTTTATAAATGTAATTGTAATAATATTTTAAAGCAAACCTATTTCAAAGATCATTGATTTGTCGCTTTGTAAATCTACTTATTCCATTTGTCAACTTGACACTTGACATAGTCAAATTAAACAAGTTGAAGTCAAAAATTATAGCATTTAAAATTACAGAGATATAAAAATTAAAGCATTATCAAAATTCGTCCACGTCCCGATTGCGTTAACCGCATATTATAGTAAAAAAATAAACGCGTTTGAAAATAGTAATAACATTAGAGTGTTGATGGCAGAATAATATAAAAAGAAAAAACTGTCAATGTCGAAAAGTTTTTTATTGATTGTTTGACATTTGATAATGACGTGACATAACGCCGTAGTTATTGTTTTTGTTTTTGGTGCACTTTTGCGACGGTTTATGAAGCTGGGAATGTGTGAATTTAGTGTACCTTTTAGGCCTAGTGAGTCAAATGTATAAATATGTATACAGATAGAACATGTACAGAAATCTGGGTCAAGCTAAGGACTACAAGATTCAAAGTTTTTGTTTCACTATGAAATAAGATATTTTAACCTTACTATTATAGAATTTAAAATGAATTTCGATAAAGACTTTATCATGGAATTATTTTTGGACGATACTGTCTCCACACTGAACAAAGTAGTAGTCGCAGTAGCCAACGTTGTTAACGAGAATAATGAAAACACGAGCTGTTTTGATGAACTCGTAATAAAAGAACAAAGCACTCAAATGATGCAAGATCATATACAAAATGTTAAGAAAAAATCAGAAGTAACAGATGTAAAAGCCTATTTCGAAAATTTTGTTGTTAAATTTACTGAACAGGATTATATCGAAAAATATCAAATGAAAAAGACTACTGTACAGGTAATACCATTTCTATCTCTTGTTTAAAGTCTACTTCTTTATTGTTTTCTTAATTTTTATATGGAATAGACTAAGGTGTTTTTCTTTTTTCAGGCCCTGATAAACAGTTTGATGGAAATCCAATCTGGCTGTACAAATGTTCCCTTAGAGAAAAAAGTCCACATTTTCTTGTGGATTCTAACAAGTGATTACTCTTTTAGTGAGACTGGTGTGTTGTTTGGATTACATAAATCCTCTATAAGTTACATCTTTTATGAAATAGCCACAATAGTTACTGAGCAAAGATATAACTATATAAATTGGCCGTGTTTAAAAGAACAGCATATGACCAGGGTAAAAATAAATAGTAGACATAAATTTCCAAACTGTGTAGGTTTTATTGATGCTTGTAGACTCAAAGTGGGATCTACAAGAACCAGAAAGAATGTTCCAGAAACAATATTATTGCAAGCTGTCTGTGATGAATCCCTGAGCTTTCTTGATGTTCACATAGGAAAAATTGGAGACACTAGAAAGAGTAGAGTTTTCAGACAGAGTCAGCTTTCTAAAGAACTTAAAAATTTCATTGATTTTGAAAACCATATTCTAGGTGATTCAAATTATAGGTTAAGAAAAAATCTCATAACACCATTCACAAGTGAAGAGTTGTTGACAACTGAAGAAATTAAATTTAATGAGGTGCATTGGAAGGCTCGCAGTTACATTGGACATGCATTTGAATTGTTGAAAGATCGTTTTAAGAAATTAAACCACTTGGATGTTAACAAACAAGAATCTAATAACACTATTATCCTTGCTGCCTGTGTTTTACATAATTTTGTTATACTCCATGAAGGATGCTCTCAAATTAAACATGAGCCTGTAATTTGTGATGATCATATTATTGTTGATAGAGAAATTGTTACGACTGCAGTTGAAAAGCGTCAATACCTTTGTAACTATATTAATTATCTTGATAGCAATTAACCCATAAAAGCCTGATATTTTAAATCAAACTATACTGTGTTTCTTAATAAAGGGGAAGAATATTAAAAGAATCCAAACAATATTTTTATACATGTTCGTGATATGCTTTTTTTTTGTTTTCTAACTTGAAGATTATCAGTCAAAGGTAACACATACACAGCCAAATTTTAAAATAAAATCGATTGTAGGTGTCCAATGCGATTTACAACCCCAGTATGATTATAGCTCTTAGGACAATATTAAATACATAACTATATTGTTGTGATTGGTAAAAATGACAACTGTATATTTTTCTTTGTGTAAGAAACTTAATTTTGATAAAGCTGAATCTAGTCTTATTTAGATAATAATAAATGTTCTTTGTATTTTAGTCAAAGTATTGTTTTAATGCATGACAGAATTTCACTGCAATAAATTTATTTGGGTATTTTCATCATAATGGTGGCATCAGTTCGATAAAAATAGACTAGTAACAGGGAGAATTGAAAACAAAGAGTTGATAATATTTAAATTGGTTTATTTAATATAAAGTATATAAATAATACATAATCTTGAAGTACAATTCTTTTGAATGAAAATTGAATGTTTCATGTAATAGATTTTTTATACACATTCTCAATATTTATTATTATAAAATATATAAACAATTATTTTTACAACATTCAAGGAAAGCATATCAAAACACAATTAAACTAGTAAAATAATTTCGTGAGAAATACAGGAAAGATACAAGCAATTTCGGCTTAACTAAATAAACTTTGATTTGTTTCACGGTGGGAACACTTTTTAATTTTTTTTATAATCTCTGGTGGTTTTTTTTCAGCCTAGTGATAATCCCATTCAGGGTTATTCAATAATTTTTTTTAAGAATAAATACCAGACATCGAATTACTCATAGTAGATCGACGAAATGTTTGTTAGATAAAAAGAAAAAAATATACTGTAAATATGTGGCGGGAAAGAGCGGTAATTATATATGGAAATAAAATATGTAGACAGTCTTACAATTTGTGGGTATGTTATACAAAGCGGATTCAACCAACATCATATAGTCAATTCTGTTAAAAAAATTATAATACAACAGGTTACTAAACATCTATTATAACTCTTGTTGTATCCTAAATACATTAGGCACTAAATTGGCAACCTACAAGGCACTATGCACTTAGCACAGCAATTTATTTAATCATAAATCCTTTAAAACAAATTTAAAATAATTGTTAAAACATTACAGGCCACAGCTGTTTGAGCTAGTACTGCTTTGCAATATTTTATATATGCTTTAACTATACACAAAACATTGCCAACGCAAACAAGTTCACTTAGTGTCCAATGGGACTATGTCCACCTCAATCTCCTACCATCTTATATACAAATTTTTTATTATATTTACAAAGAACAGTATTTTGACTATTTCTAAAAATTTAGTTTTAACATGGAATGTAAAAAGTGAATATTTAATACTGCTAATCAGGGTTTGTTTAGCAAAGGACAGATTCAATTTTATTTAACAATTCAACAAACCTTTTAATGACCAACCATTTTGATCCTGATTTTAGTAGTTTTGTGTTATTTTTAACACTTTCAGTTATAATATCTTGTAAATTTAAACAGTATTAAATATTCACACAATATTCTCATTACATATCATAAAACTATTTATTTAATTGCAATATTATAATATTTATCGCAATTAAATAAATAGTTTTATGAGATGTAAATATTGGATTAAAATACTGAAGGAAATTGTTCCTATAGTTAATATCTAATATCTAAATGCAATCCTACACTGCTCAAACAGTGTCGTCACAAAGTCCTCACACCACCGTCCCAGGGTGGACAGGTATAGACAACTATACAAATGTTCACACACCAATTTATTTGGTTTTCTTGATTCACTATCAGTTTTTCGTACACACGCGGAATATTCGATAACGTTTTTACCAAGGTCTCCAAATGAAGGTCAAATCTCGGCTTCATTTGACTCGAGAGCGATATATTTACAGTTAAAAAATCGTCACACTAAGTCCGAGCGGTTCGCAACACCTCCACTTGTCACTATCACTTCCTAATGGAACCATACACCGTTTGTTGGTTTCAAATGTATGTCTTTTTAACTTTCTGTAGCGTGCCGCACTTGAGGTCCTTGTCGAGGGATTCCGTGGAGTTTCTCATGTCCAGGGAGCGGTCTTTGCCCAGCTCTAAATGCAGGTTGTCTTGTTTGACGAGTGGCCCTACATTGGCCACCATATTGACGTTCTTGGACCGGGGCGGCATGTACCCGGAGTTCACATTTAACGGAGTCTCCAGAGGACTTAGCCTGAAATAGAAGATTGGAAATCTTACAAATATTGTGAATGCAAATGTTTAGATAGATGTTTGTTGAGTTTGAAGCCTAAACAGCTGAACGTATCTCGATGAAATTAAGCATAGATGTAGAATATAGAAGGACACATAGGCTACTAGTTTTTGTTCATCTTAATTCCACGCGTACGGAGTCGTGAGCGAAAGATAGTCTTACTATGAATGTGATAGTTTGGATATATCTTTGTTAAAATTTGAAATAAAAGTGGATCGTAGTCTGGAATAATTAATTAAGTCTGTTTTTGATTTCGTATGTGGCAACTTGTTTAAGCATATATTCAATAACACAATAATGTGGTTATTTACTTAGTTTCATTTATAAGTATACCTGTTCAAGTGGTTGTGCTGTTCATTGAACGGCGAGGTGTCCGCGAAGAAGGGATGACGAAACCTCCTGGAGAAGAGGTATCCGATGACGAAGCCCAGCATGAGGGTGACGAGGCAGGAGGCCACTACGGCCGTCAGCAGTGCTTGCGCGCTGTAGATGTTGCCGTCAGCCGCCTCCACAGTCAGCAGATCTGCAATACATTACATATGTAGTTAGAACAGCGTATTATTTATATTATTTCATTATAGTCTTGTAATATACCAAAAATTATTAGACCAATTTTAATTCTTGCACCAGCTATTTAATTAAGACAAAGAAAATCCCTCCCCCCCCCCCCAAAATAAGAAAGATTTTAAAAGTATGAAGTCTAGCTCACCTGTCTCATGTTTATGATTGTCTGTCGCCTTGTCCTCGGAGACGACATTAGTTTCGACGACCTCTATGAGTATCTCGTTATGCAGGTCGCGCTGCGCGCCGTCCGCGGGCTGGGTGTGCAAGGTGTGCAGGTTGTGGCGGCGCTCGGGCAGCAGCGCGGGCAGCTTGTTGCAGACGTCGGCGGCGCCGCGCTCCACGCTCTGCAGGAAGCGCTCCGGGTTCGGGAACTGTCGGTTGCCGACCCACGAGCACTGCTGCTGCTTGGAGTCCCACGCGCAGTGCGGGTCTTGCAGCGACACGCATTCCCTGTTTTACAATAATAATAAGAATGAGAACGAAAACAAGAAAAATGTATGTAAAACATAAGACTTAATTAAATATAAAATGTGATTGTTTTATGCTAATAATATACCAATTGAATATGTGAATAAACTGCTTCAATAGCCCTTCCCTTCACCTCCAGAGTCCGGGGCGGCCGAAAGTAACCGTCCAACACTACCTGTCGCCTGCGACTCCGTTCGCGTAGAATTAGACAAAAAAACTTAGTAAGTAGCATATGTTTCTTCAGACTATGTTCTACACCTGTGGCAAATTTCATCGAGTTCCGTTCAACCGTTTAGGCTACAAACTCTATCAAACTTTCGCATTTATAATATTAGTAAGATGCGAGTTTGAATAGTTTGTTATTAGTGTTTGTAGAATCTGCTTAAGGGATTTCAACGAAATTTGGCATAAATGTAGAGGATAGTCGTAAGAAGTCGGTTACTTTGCTCCCGGAATTAGTTACGGTTCCCATGGGATACACAAATTTCATTGTTAAAGCAATGTTTATGACCATGTTAATTTTATAATAAGTAATTGAGTAATATGCATTGCATATATATCAATAAAAAATTATATTAATGACTAAGAGTACGTTTATCATAAATGATAAGCCACTCCTTTGTACTGACGTTGTTAACGAGTACAAAGTATACAAAGAATAACAAATATAACGAGAATTGTATTCTTATCTGTTTATATTTTAGAATGAAAAAAGGAGTCAGACAATAGGATTATTTAGACTACAACAAGGCAATTAAATGAAAAATTAGCAAAGTTAAAGAAGAAAATCAAGATATTACCTGCACGATAGTACGTTGGTGCAATGAGACAAAGAAACTCCTTTGATAATATCGCCCGAAGCAACAATCAGTTTCTCCGTAGTTAGCGCGACATGCATCTGCTTCACTGGAACCCCGGTCGGCAGAACTTGCACCTCCGATATAACCGCTGTCCTTACTGGGTTCCTACTGGATTCATCCACGCTGGCATCGAAAGAGCCATCATTCGCAGCCACATTCACAGCTTTAATAACCCTCCCATCATCAGTACCGATGTACATCACGTCATATTTGTTTCCATTCATAGCTTGCACCTGAGGATGGATGGCGATCGCTGAAAACCGATACTGTAAACTAACTCGGATCAGTATCGGCCGTGCTAAAAACGAAGGTACGGCTTTCTCCATCAACGGATGCGACTTTATGAAGTTTACACCGGAATCGGATAGAGTTCTACTATCCTCTACGCAGGAGCCAGGTCTAGGATGTGGTACTTTTTCTTTCTCTAACGGCAACCAATTTGAATTCATGCTCTCTTGTCCTTTAAAAGGTCCGTCGAATGCGTCTAATATATCTCTCATAGCGAAAGCGCAGACCGCGGAGCCTCCTATCGCGTTTTGCGGCGTCGTGAATACGGCGTATATTATATCGTTCCTTGTGTTCCCACTACCGTATATTCCGTTGATCAATTCAGTCGTTGCCTCTGTAAAAGGTTATTAGTTTTTACTGTTTGTTCAAAAAAATAGTGTAACTAATAATTTATTTTTAAGAAACTTACGTATTTCATCAAAATAGAATGGATATTCCCCAGGCACGGAGCAATTGAGTCTCGTCTTAAGGAAGGAAGTCCATCGCTCGCTAAAAGTGTGTGGTCCGCCCTTGTCGTTGAGGCAGACCCGGGCGACTCGCGAGTACACCGCCTGTAAGATAAAACTGCGCGTTATACACAACAATTCACTATCGCACAGCTGCAAAATACAATATCGTGTTTTTTAGAACTGGCATTAGATAGAAGTACACTGACCTTTCCACAGTTCATGTATTCCACGGCGGTTTCTCGATAGAAAAAGTAGGCATGGCTGGTGGAAGCGATTGCTCCGACGAATGACGGATCGTTGAGCATTCTGAGATCTGAGCGTTCTGTCTTCACGGGTTCGCGGTAGATCAGGGGATCCGTGCCGGAGAAATCAGCTGCCGTCGCAGTGTACAATTGACCGTCTGCAAATTATAGTAAGCAATGGATTTGATACAAAGTTTCTTTGTCAGCTGGATATGGTGTTCTTGCCTTTTGTCCACTCAAACCTGTAATTAGTATGGGAAATAGATAATGAGAGACTATTCCGTTCTCTCTAATTTTGTATCTAATTGAGATTACGAAAATACTCTACGTATTTTTTAGGATAATTTGAAGCGCTTAATGTGACTTTACGTAATGGTATGAGGACCACCAGAGTGACTTAGCCTCTGTGGTTACGTTATGAGTTATAAGAAAGCGTATTAAGAGTAACGGTGTAGTCAATTTGGAGAATCGTGCGCTCTCTGCTCCGGGTTTGTGGTTAACTCATTAACTTGTGCTAGATAACTTTTCATATACCTCTACATTTTCCGATTTAATCATGGAATGTGTTAACTTTTGCTTTGAAAACTTTTAGTACAAATTGAAAACAGAATTGTATGTTAATTAATCGGTGAGTCAGATATTAAAGATTATAGTGTAACAATTATAATAACAAATCATGAATGAAGTTGAGAAGGCATACAGTATTAATCATACATATGACGGAAGAGACTCTGTACTTGATAAAATAAATAAAAAAATATGGCAACTTTGTTGATCAAAGTTGGAGACCCATATCGCAACATTTTCACTTCTGAATTTGTTTTAGTTGACAATAAAGTTCCTAACGTCAATAAACAAATGAAATGTTAAGAGTTGTCTTGTCAAAATAAAGTTTGCTCTTACCAGTGAATATAGAAGTGGAATTATGCTCCGGGTCGTATGGGCATCTTCCTGAGCCGTCGAACTCTTCGAGGCGGTGGTTCTGTCGCGAGGTGTCGTATCGCCTGCAGAGCGGCTTGAAGGCGTTGGTGCCGCACACCAGCAAGCGGCCGTGTGATCGCGCCACCACGCGCGGGTAGTTCTGGCACTCGTCCGATGATTTGCCTTTTAACTGACATAGTTCTCTGTGCGCGTCTGTTGACTGCCATTCTAGACGCTACGAGCAAAGGGACAATTTAAATTATTAAAAATACTTACTGTATTGTACTAATATTTAATTTACTAGAAGAGATACGACTGAAAAGTGCACGTTTTCCTCTTGAACAGTGAAAGGTTTGTAATTTTTTTAAATGATTATTCTATATAAGAAGTGATTGTGGCGAATAAATTGCATATTAATTCGAGAAGTCATTGAAAATACTGGTTTGTTTGTAGCGAGAAACGCGCACATGCATTGACTTTCACAAGCCGGCGGGCACGCCGCGCCGACACGGTTCACTTGAAATCGGCTACAGGAAGTCGACCAAGCTGCGAGACTCATTTTTAATGCCAACCCTAACGAGGCCCTTGTACTAAACTGTCATTTATTTACTTGTGAAGGATATAGGTCACAGGGAACTGTTGAAATAAATATACTGTGTAACTGTTAGCCGTAATTTGTGACTTTACAGTAGGTATATAATTTCGTAAAATACTTGTATTTATTCAACGTTTGCTTTGATAGTAAAATTATTTAGATGTAAACAATTACTCGGACTCGTTACAGACTGACAAATATTCCCAATTTTCTACGGTGCCTGAAATGGAAGTATCGGTAACGAAATATGGTTCTGTGACGAGTAAACTTTACCAATATCTGGTGGAACATGGCGGCGTGCCAACAGCCCGACGCTCGTGTATTTGGTATTTTTATGCGTATTTTGTGATGCCATTAATTTTGTCCGATATTAAAACTACGCTGTTGGTTCTGAATATGTTATGAATTCTATATTGGATACATCAATATAAAAGATCTGTGTCGATGCGACCGATTTATAGTCGAGATGTCTGATTTTCATTATCTTGTAAAAATATTCTGATATTATATATATTTTGGTCGTAACAAAAAAAATTGAGCACTATCTAAAATGCCTAAATAAATTATTTTATATTGTTGTATAAGAATTACAATTACAATTATTTTATATTGTTTTACAAGAATTATTTACTAAATCGATTTTTGAATTAGCACTCAAATAAGCTAGCAATGTTTTTAGACCATAGTTCGTACTTCAAAGCGTTTAGGGATCTAATCTATAAGAGCAATCTAAACATTGAGATGGCTTTTGCGAGGGGCGGAGGGAAAACTACTTGGAACCCCACACTTATAGGAGGCCCGCTTTTCCTCATTCTGTGAAAGGTTAAAAATTCTGCTTTCCCCATTGGGTAAAGTGCTTCGCGAAACCCTTTCGTTTATGACTTCCAAAGATCTATACTTATGTATGTTACAGTAATAGCTAAATACATAGCCGTCGAAATATTTTACTTTACAAAAGTCATAAAATAAAATAAAAAATCCGATTAGAGTAACAAGTATACATAATATGTGGGAACGTTTGCATTTTATCTCGATTATGAATGTGGTTTCTATGTAAATATTTTACATACATAATAATTTAACTTATAATTAATACCTTTGACAAATTTTTACTTGCACTCTAACTTTTTGACTCGAAACTCGTGCAAGAGCAATGTAGGTCAGGTACAACTAAATAAATAAGGTAACAACAATTTGCATACAATTTTAATTTAATCTAAAAACTTATATTGCGTCGTGAATAAGAAGTAGGCGAACTATCGCGTGCGCGTTCATCAAAAGTGTGTAATGTAACTTTAGCAATTTGAACAGAGTATTGTACCTCAGAGATATCGCTACATGCTAACAATTGTTATACAACTTGTAACAAGGTTTCTGATCACATTTGTCATTGTAAAACAATATACAATTTAACATCTGAATGAAAAAGAAAGAAAATCATTATAATTGCCACTGGCATAGTATTGACGTCATGCCCATCCCCTTGTTTTTTAATGTATTTTTCGTATAAGTAAATTTTGCGTGAATTATTTTGTCAGTGACATGTTAGCGACTGATCCTGTGACATTTCAAATCCCGGCAGAAATGTGTTACATAGAAAGACGTACAATTTATATCTGTATCTATTAACCGAGTAAACCGTAAAACATACCAACATAACGGAATAAAAAAGGACATTATTATATCCATCATTAAAATAATTACTACATTTTATAAAATACGTTAGCGACTTTATCAATTTTCTACAGGTACGTATAACATCATGAACGAGAAGTATATTTAAATCCTCCTTGACTTGCAAATACTCGTAATGGCTACAATCACGGCTGCAGTGAATTCCGCGTATATATTAAAGCATGATGCGAACAAACACAATCATGCATGTAGTTAGGGCTGTCAACCTTTGGTTTGTATGATGCATATTTGCATTCGGACTAAGGGTTTAACATGTATTTGGAATTGATTCAAATGAACGAAGAACTGACAAATTCTTGGCCTTTTCGATTTATCAGTTTTAAGACCAAATTGTGAAATTAAGTAAAGTAAAATTGGTATTTTATTTTATATTGTTATGTGAAAAACAACCTTTTTTCGTCATCCATTAAAGAGTCATGGTGTATTTTTGCAGGTATTAAGGTTAACTTTTAATTTAAATTATGTAAGTATAAATTGGCAGCCCTACATGTTGCATGTAGGTAATACTGATGAATCACATTCCTATATCCATTCATAATTTACTTTGTATAAAAAATTCTTGCTTTTAAACTAATTTGTTTTATAAAGTTCAAGTAACGATTAAGCAATACATTTGTAACTTAAATGGATCGACTCTTATTGTATAACAACGAGTACAACTTTAAAAATTACAAGTGTAGACATGTTACCGCTATTTCTAAAATAAAAATTTATTAGAATATTAGCACTTTGAAACTTTTTATCACAGTTTAGATGGATGGATGGATATTTGTTAGAGTTTGTAGCCTAAAAAGCTGAACGGATTTCGATGAAATTTGGTATAGATATAGAGGATAGTCTGGCAGAACACATAGGCTACTTACTTTTACGTTTTTAAATTCCACGCGGACGGAGTCGCGGGCGAAAGCTAGTCTTTCATAAAATACAAAATAGAAAACAGGCTAATCTTTGTCATCAATTTCGAGTATTTTTTGATATAGAATTGCTGTACAGTAGTCACACCTTTATCATGCTCCAAATTATAGGCAAATAACAGATAAAGCTTGTCAACGTTTGATAAAAAATTGTCTCATTCCAAACGCAGTTCTGTGTATTCTACATAAAAAATATTGTTATCCCTTTCATACCCTTTAGGAATAGAGGATAACAATATACTTTTATACATAATACCTGTGGGTTTCAGTGGACAATGTTACAGTCGTAACAGTCAACATATCATAACGAAACGGTTGCTTCATAGAATGTTCTCGAATTAGTAAACTGAGAGTATATATGGGTTACTTAAGATGGTAAGTGTCGTTAGCACTGTTATAAGCCTAAGGTGGCCGTGACTGCAGCCATGTTTGTTTGACGAAAACATCCACAAGACCTCTACATACGAACCTTATAACCAACTATAAATATTTAAAATTACGGAATCAATTATTTATTCATATTTACCAACAAAAAAGTAACTGCCGTAGTCGCTAGGTGTAGATTTAGTGTGGTCAATTAACGACTATGAGTGCGATTAATATTATAATTAATATAATATAAATAATTTTAATATAATATAAATAAGTGGTATTAAATCTTACCTGATCAACGTTTTCAGACAAATCGTACAGGCTTAGATTATAAACGGCGTTTCTGTAACAAATGGGTATAATTAATTTCGTCATCCTCAATTTACGTAGGTGGCTTATTATTTGAAAAATTATAACATCCAAGGAGTTTTGAGCACCTGAATAAATATGTAATGGTATATTATAATTGATGTAACAATATATCTTGTTTTCAATACTTCAGTGCATATAACATTTATCTTTATTACCATAGTAATGCACAAAAAAATTAAAAAGACAATTAAATAAAGCACTTTTTTAATGTCGAAATCGATCGACTTTTCTATTAACTTATCTATTGTTAATCATGTTTCTTTTTAACATTGTATTTTGCGCTAAATAATATTTAACGTTACATGTAACAGTGTCAATGATAATACTGTACTCATGACCGATTTCGATTATAACCAATTAAAACACACAAAAAATGTGTTTGTTGATTTTATATCAGGTCAGAATATTTAATAAAAGTATAAGTGGTGGCTTAACCATTAATCTAAAACGTGATAACGAATTATAATCAATTACTTCTTTATGAGATATGATAATAATTGAGTACTTTCTCAACTCACCTGCCACCGACGATGATCGAGAAATCATCCTTGTCTAATATACGAAAATGATCAGGCGCTGTCGAGTTGCCCACGAACTGCTCTGAAGTCTCCTCGCCTGAAACAAAAGAACGCGTCCCTAAATATACAACCCACTCAAGATATATTTAGAAACGGCGCTAACATCCAAGCTAACGCATATCTTTGAATCAATTTTATAAGAGGATATAGGTTAAAAAATTCCATTACAGGATCTTAAAACACAGTATATTAGTAAAAAAAAACTCTAATATTTTCATCTAATTTTATTTATACAATTTGAGAAAATGTTTTACGTCAATTATTTGGTAAATACCATAGGAAGTTGAATACATAACTGAAGAACCCACTGTTGGTTCCATGTTTTGGTCTAATGGTATAAAATTGTTGAATTTGAGAATGTTAAGGTGCGTCTACTAAAGGTTGTGGCCGCGATAGTCTTGGCTGATAATCAAAAATGTCCGTTACTTTTACCGGGTTATGGTAGCTAAGTATGGAATGCGCTTATATACTTATGACCAAGTGACCTATTTAGTGGTTTACAATTCCGCTAATAATTATACGAAGTATATTTAAATGACTTTAAAATTATTCTTCTTCGTAGTTCATTACGTATTTGTTGCAAAAACTATGTTCATTATTCACGGTGATTAATGCAAAGTGGGTCGCGAGGTATTGTATCGAGTGAAATTCGATGTTTTGTCATTTGTCACTGCCATTTGCATAGCGAAGTAGTTTTAAACGTCTCAGATGGAGTCTTTTATTTTAATTACTTCTGAATGTTAATGATTATTACAATTATGCAACAAAATGAAGAATGTTGGAATAGAAGTTGTCCAAGAACAAAAAAAAAACAGAACACGATTATGTTTTACTAGCTTTCGCTCCTCGGTTCGCGTGGTATTAAAAAACAAAAACAAAAGTGAGTAGCCTGTGTTCTTCCAGACTATCGTCTACATCTATACCGAATTTCATCGAAATCCGATCGGCCGCTTTAGCTACAAACTCTAACATCCATCCATCCATCCATCCATCTAAACTTTCGCATTTACTATATAAGTATTAGTATGAAGTTTGATTACCAAGAACTTAATCATGTCATTTTTAAGTTTTTTTCCAAGATAATGAAAGGTGAAATCATGTAGAAATATAGGTATTAACAAGATTTACTGTAACTTATTGAAAGCTAACTCAATGCCTACAAAAGGCTTCGACGCTAGCGAGGCGCCAATGAACTAAGCATAATACAAGCTATAGGACAGCATTACAGCGCTTGTTGGTGCACGTAGTAAATACATTTACGATCCTGGCAGAGTTAACAGGATTCGTGGTAATTGGACGTGGATTATACAGATTTAGCCTGACCAGCTTAGCATTGCAGGTCGCGCGGCGGCCGTTGGCTAGTAACAAGCTGAATTTGATTACGGCTTTCACCGCCACGAGCTGTTACGCACTGCAATCAATTTGTTGCCAATTTAATTATTATGATAATGCGATGTTCACAACAGTATTGAACTACATTTGCATTGATTTTATACGAACAACGATAGCTATAATGTAAGTCGAGGTTGTATGAGCAACCTATAGTGATTTTTTATGGTGTTTTTAAATCAACTTATGGAATTTAAAGTTTATATCTGTATGAATGTACGAAGTAATCCTTAGAAAAAGCCTATTAAAAATACAAAGCCAATGTGAAAATAAAGGTAGGTTTACAATGGCGTTACCCAGACCTACGTGGAAGTGAGGACAAAGCCCTTCTGTAATGCGATTAAACAGCAATAAGAATTTACGATTTCATAACGATTATTCGAAAAATTCTCGCGTGTTTCGCACGATTAACATTGTCAGCCATGTTGCACCTGCAGTGTTAACCCACGTAAGAAATGCCTACTCCATTTAAATTCTGCACATAGCACGTATGAGGAAAATTATTGCATAAACGTTTACATTCCGTCCCCTACATACTACACGTTCTTAAATGAAAGCCAGAAAATATTTCATTATAAAACTTCTAATTTAATCTTTGAAAATAGTAAAGATTTGCTTTGATATATGCGGAATAAATTATTTAATTGTAATTGGGATTCAAAACGTATACATTAAGTTACGTTTTTAATTAACAGCACGTAATATTAAGATACTGTAATGACTTTAGCGTAACGTTACTATTATTAGAAAATATTAAGATAAACTTGCAAAATATTTGCCAACCATGGAAGTATGAAACCATAGCCAATATATACGTTATGTCTAAAACATGGAATTTAATACGTAAAGTCTCTATGGTAGGCAACGTAAAAGATCTCCCCTTTAACCCTTAGGATAATGATGATCACACTTATTATGAACATTTAAATGTGGCTTTTCTGTGTTATTAAGTTAACTTGTGTTTATATATACTGTGAACAAACTTTCGGTGTTTGTGTTTAAAAACTTTTATAGACTTTTAATCCCATACCACACAGGAAGTGGGATATAAAAATAGATACATCTGTTTAGAACATAGCTGTTTGAGAGAATTCGGTAGTATTGCTTAAATAAGGACAATGTTTTGAATACATACTTGCGGTTCTTGATTACCTACGTTATACACATACATACTATTAATAGATATCACACTTATTTCACAAGTACATCCTCAAGTAGATACTTTAATTTACATAAATGAAATTGATGTAATGTGTTACACTAATATTATGAATAGAAAATATTTATGAGTTTGTAAAAATGAACGCAAAAACTACTAGACTGTTTTATTATTGTCTTGCATCATAACAGTGTCACATCATACTAATATTATAAATGCGAAAGTTTAGATAGATGGATGGATGTTTGTTAGAGTTTCTGGTCTAAACGGCTGAACGGATCTCGATGAAATTTGGCATAGACGTAGAAAACAGTCTGGAATAACACATAGGCTATTTGCTTTTGATTTTAATAATTACACGCGGACGGAGTCGCGGGCGAAAACTAGTCCATGAATAAAGTAAGCATTTAATATTGTTATAACATATTAAAAATAATGTTCATCCGTGCGAAGCCGAGACGGGTCGCTAGTTACACATGGAACAAAGTACAAATGGTACTCAGAGTGAGATATGTGAAGGTATCAATTACCGTATTTAACGTGTATCCGTGCATTAGCATCCGGCATCCAGGCGTGCGCCGTCGACGCTAACAGGAGCAAGACCGCGCGGGCGACGGCCATTTTGGATTAGTGCCTAATCCTCTCCACACACGCCATCTTCTGCCTGTAACAATGGACGTTTGATTTAAGACCTTATATTTGTATTGATTGATGGTACCTCGTGTTTGACGATATCTAAAAGCAAATTGGAATTCGGTAGCGTCATATAGCTTTCTTCTTTTGTGATGTAAAAAAATACTGTTTCTTTTTTATTTTATATTAATTATTTCTTGAACTAATTGTTAATTTCCAAATATTATGTTAGGTTAAGTATCAATTACGCGCATGCCAGATATAAAATGCAAATTCATAAATTGTGTAGTATAATTCTGGGCAAGCCAGATGTTGCCGGCTTAATCTCCGGGCAAATTGCAATGTCTGAGAATGCATTTAACACCTACGTTTCCCCCGTTATTCCTACGTCACTTAGAGCGAGCACTCCGTATGTGAACGCAGGGTATCGAATGTGCATACTTTTGCATCTATTTAGCAATTACTGTGTACTTTAGTTTGTAGCTAAATTAAACACTAGTATATCGTTAACCATACTATTGTCTGACTGTTTTGTGTTATTTTATTGTTATTGTGTCTTTATTTAATAACAATAAATTTTCTCAAGCGTTGTTATATTTCTCAAGCGTATCGTTATGATAATGAATGTTTATGAGCGACTTAAGAATGATATAAACAAAATAATTCCTCATTTGTATGATTTTGTTTATAAATACAACACGACCTTGGTTGGCAGATAGATATTAACATTGGTGATAGCAAAAAGCACAAAGTTTGTTAATAAACGATTAAATACGGATATTTTAAAATAAAACAGGCATACGCATCAGATATACAAATAGCGATAAAACAAGAGTGGTGATAATAATTTGCGTCAGATACGAGATGCAAGAAATATGCATCAAGCTGGCTCCTTGTGCGTCAGAACAGGCCCCGACTCTCACATTCTAGTTTTTTACTTTAGCCACATTACTCGTTATCGTGGGAAAAACAACTTGGCACTTGGTCGCTATTATTAGATTTATATCTGTTTACAAGATAGCGAATTGCATTTTGAGTTTCCTAGGGAAAAAACTTATAAATTTTTATCATTTACTGTGATTTATTTTTATTATCTAACAGTGTCACCATAAGCGTCTCACGTCAAATATAATATACTATGTAACTCACAGATAAATTACCTTAATAATGGTGAAAGAATTTTTAAAATCTGCCCATTAGTTTTTACGTGAATCGACTACATACAAAAATTCAAATCATTCCACTTTATAATATTAGGACTAGATACAGATATATGTGCAGTCTTGATAAAGTACGGTTAGATAGAAAATCAATGCTTATTCTAAAGCTACATGTTAGATGGGTTGTCGGCTAAAGGGTTGAAAATATAAGAGGAGACAGGCCATTGTACCGTCAGAGTTACAAAGGATGAACATAATGTGGGGGATGGTATCGCCGCGTCTATATTTTGCGCTCGGGGCTTTGTGTAAAGTGCTCCAGTGTCGCAGTGTAGCTAGCAGCTAGCAGCATGCTCTGTAACCTGTTAGTGTTAATTCCCTTGCTATATATTACGCGAACCTGCAATTTATCGGCGTTGGATCTACCCACGCAATTACTGGCTTAAACAAACGAGCGGTTATCGAGTAGCGGAAGGCAATGGCTGATCTTTGCCAATTTTATTTAATAATAATAATTTTCTAATGAAATTACTTGAATTTTGAAAATAAAAAAAGTAAAACTTTTATTGAAGTGAGAGGCAAAGAGTAAGTAACGTTACATCCGGACGATTTTGTTTTCAAAAATAGTATCCTATTTGAAAAAATAAATATTACTTGCGAAATCAGGCTTTGATACGAACGTTTTTTGGCAATGTATGAAGTCGTGATTTCTAACATTGAATACGAAAGGAGAGACGTAAAGGAGACACTGGTATGAATGTTTAATGCTTTTGGCAATGTAAGGCGGTGGTCAGTTTACAAAACTAATGCTCCGTATCCTTGTTGCTTACATAAAAATATACAATACAAGTAGTTCAAAGCATATTATTAATTCAGCATTTGTTAACGATTCAATTAGTAGGCACCTACACCAGTTTGGTCATCAAAACACTTATAATGTATTCATCGAATCGATTTCGCTTTAAATAAATTGGGTAATGAAAAACGAGTTTTGTAATCATTTCTGAATACTGTTCAATGTGAATTTTCAAATAATAAGTTATTTAATTGATTTATGTGTTACATAATTGTTCACTAAAATGAGAAAATAATCAAGGAAAAATAATGTTTAGTTAATAATTTTAAAAACCCAAATTAAACATATCAAACAATTTTTACCTATAAAGGTAACCTACATTCTTAATGACGTGTTTTAACTAACTAAAGTGCATTAATTATTGGCAAAAATAACATGAGCGAGCAGTTTTAAAACCTCGTTACAATATTAAATTACGTAGTAGTTCGCTTGATTTATTTTTCGCGGACGTGACATGACGGCGTGTAATTACATACAGAATATGGACGCGGTTGACATTCGAGTCACGAGAGCGTGGTGTGACCAGCCTCCGCGCCGTCCCACGACGCCGGGGAAGCTGCGGTTCTTTACTACCAACCGCAAACTTTTATGGCATACCTTTACGTGGGCCTACCGAAGTGGTGGGAAATGCAACATTTAGAACAATAGAACATGTTATAACATTTTCATCGAAGGCGGAATAATCACGATTGAATTTGTAGTACCTATGGTGTCGCGGCGTTGATCACATTTTCTTTCCGGATATTATTTACCTTTTTTCCATACGCTTTTCGTCCTGGGTAATTAGGTAGCAGAAGTGATTACTTATTAGCTGGTTCTTGCATCTTTTACTATACTACTAATATTTGCTCCGAGGTGTCTGTAAATGGTATTTATATTATTTGTATGTTAAATTTCTATGTGCCAAAGGAGGCCCTCTTTGCGACGCCAGTCCGAAATAGTAAATTTATCGGTAATTTGATTGCTTTTATCGATTTATTTATACATCGAACAATGTGTAATTTTCTTTGTTCCCCTTGAAAGTGCCACGGCCATCGTAGATTGATCACAATCACAAAGTGATATATTATTACGTTTAACGTTGTGTTGAAATGACTTACATCCTTCACTGTTTCGTTACTTGATAAATTTAATACATCTGTTTTATTTGGTTTGGGATCAATTTATTGGGGCCCTGACATTTGTGGCGCTTTGATAGTTACAACTACCATCAAACTTAAGCAATGTTTCTGGCGGTAAACAGTTGTCCGAGTGTTTTAGTAGCGTCTATTCCCGAGCGACAAACTATGCGTCGAGTTACTTGCGGCGGACGGCCACATAATGTAATGGTCGTTTAAAGCGTAACCTAAAAAAATGTTTACATTAACGCTGAAAAGGTCAAATGAGAGGCGCTTCATACAAAAATAGTGCCTAAGGTTAGGTTAGTATACTCAAAGAGATTTAGTATAAGGATAAAAAGAAGAAAGAGACCGAAAAGAGTTTCGTTTAGTCATAAGCATTACCATAAGAGTTCAATTGTTGCACGTACTTTTTTACGATTTCTTTAAATTAGAATACTAATGGAATCAGTTGTTTTGATTAAGGAACCATATTCTAGTATCAGTTTTATTCTTCCTAACGTTAATTCTTTTTTTTTTCCCATCATTAGCTATCGTGAAATTTATCAATGTTATTTATAGTACTTGATACGACACATTTCATAAAAAACATTTTTGCATAAATAACAGAGCTTCGATAACTTTCAAGGAAGTGTGACGTCGAGATTTATCCTCAGAGCGGAGTGGTTAGCATACGGAATCACCGATAAAGACAGTTTGTCGCATTTTCTATATCGGCTCGTAATTTATGGCCTGCCTCGGGCGACGTCACGCGTGAAATGTTAGCTACGTACATGTCCAAACTGTGGAGGATAACTTCCTACACGAATAGAATATACAAACAGTGGATCAGTATTTAGCAAGTAAGATTTTAAAAAAAATATCTGTCTCCATATTTCTTACCTCTGATATGCGATTGTTTGCTAACGTGTTGCGGTAGTTTAAAATCAAATCGTTTGCTTCCTTCTTCGATAAAAGGTGGGTATAAAATTATTGTCTATTTAATGTACAAATATCCGTATAGTATAGTTATAATTCTTTAAACGATTGACAGACGCTTAACAATAGCGGATTAACAATAATATTTGCACTTCATTTGTCATACGACACGATATTAAATCGCAGACATCGTATCATTCGCGCTTTATGTATACAAGCGTGTTGAATGTCATGTAGTTTTATGATTACTTACAGCTCAATTTCATCGATGTTTATAAATTAGTGATGAATGACAGTAGCAATAGGAGTGAGAGACAAAATGGCGGGTGTACTATAGCGAACAAAATTATACCACTTACTAAAAAAATGTACTATTTAGTACATTGCTCAAAAAAAATGTACCTTCTCATTGACGTCAACATGGCGGGTGTAACTTAATTTCGTTATAGAGAATGTACTATTTTTCTAAGCGAGGTACTAAATAGTATATTTTAGGTACATTTTTTTTGTAAGTGGTATAATTTTATTCGCTATGGTACACCCGCCATTTTGACTCTCACCAATAGGAGTTGTTTTTCCAGGGACAAAACAATTGAGGAACTAATTGCTATTAGGTTACGGATTTTTGAGAATAGAGTACTAGGTGGCTAGAAGAGACCTGTATACAGGTAAGGAATTACAAAGTGTATATTTTATTTCATTTATACTAATATTATTAACAGGAGAGATTTGTATTTTTGTATGTATTGAAATAACTCTAAAACTAATTGTCCGATTTTAAAAATTCTTTTACTTTTAGAAAGGTCAGTTATATGCTCACATGCTGATGTTAATCATAACAAAGGTCATATTTTTTTATTATTTTTTTCACTTCAAGCGGACAAAGTTTGTGAATAAAGTTGTAATGAAACAAGTCTTGGAATGGGTGCCAAGCGTCAAGCGTAATGATAATTTCATTAAAGAAGAAATCATTTTTGTATTATACAATATACTTTATCAAGATAAACATTTTCTTAACTTATTAAGATATCAAACGTAATTTTCATTTAATACTTGTTTTACAGTCTATGATTTCTTTCTTTAAAACTGCAGTGGGACTCGATACGATCAAGATGATATAAAAATCCAGTATATTTAATATATGATAGCAATTTAAAAGATCAAAAGATGTGATATTACTTTGGTTGGTTCAAGATTTACAAAGTTCCCCGCATCTTGCTGCACGCTCCAGTGAACCGAGGTTTTTAATCTTGAAGAATTATGCTAAATGAAGATATCTGTTTAGATACTTTGAGACATAGAAGAAAGCATAGATAACAGTTTGAAAGTTTTTTAATTACCATAAGTTTTCTCTTTATACGTTCTCTGTGGAATATGATTCCTTGAATAATTATCGTTTTTTAAGCTTCGGTTAAAAAAGGTCTTAAACAATGTTTTTTTTTTGGAAAATTTACATTTCATAAAAAGCTAAAATCATAACCATGATAAAAATGCATTTATTAGCACAAAGAGTAAACAAATAACGTGAAAACTTTCTCCGTTTAAAATTCAATTTTCCCTTGCGGAGATCGTTAACATTAACAAGCGGTTCGGGCGCACCAAAAAATAAATGAATAATAAATTAACATTAATTTATTGGTCGAAGAGGAGTTTTGTAATGTTTCGGTCCGGTCCATCTGGCTTCCCCATCAGCTCTCGACTATCTTAACACAATATGACGCATACGCAATTACGCAGGATGTTGATAATGTCATTCACTAGATCCTCTTTAACTAAACCGTAAGTACATTATACATTATAAACGGTACGATAAAAGAAATCCAACACTAGTAACACCGGTTTGTTGTAGAAATATAATTAGGTGACAGAGTGAAATTTCGATACGGCATTTCAGCACACCTATAAAGTGACAATCTCTACCTCTTCTGGATGGTACGGCTACGCCAGTGTGTACTATTTAAGTGTGACGTACATAAAGCAACGGTTTACTCAGACTAAATAGTGTTTTCCCGTAACCTAAGTTCGCTTACAAAATAAGGACAAATGGTTTTTCCAAGCTATTTTGTTTATTCGGGTATTGAAACAATGTCAGTTTAAATGTGTTTGTTTGCACTAAACTACAACTTTGATCGATTATGTGTAAACTAGCTGATCCCGTTCGGCTTCATCCACATGAAATTATGACAATTTTATTTTATTGTTTACATTTGTCAAATTATCAATAGCAAATGTCAAAATGACATGACATGACAAACTTTGACAACCTTGCTTCCTTGATGTTGACAGCAACTTATGGTCTCTTTCCCACATTAGGGTTTTTATCCAAAATGTTTAGCCCTAAGTTTGATGGCGGGAAAATGTATAGCCTAAAGCGTGACGTAGGTTAAGGGCTTTTTATTAAAAAAAAAAATTCAAAAATATGCTGTAATTGCTGACATCTTAGGCAAAAAAGAAGTGTGTGTTTACGCTTTATTATAATAGTATAGATTGTACTATGAAATAAATTAAATTTTATTGCGATTGTTTATTGTGAACAATTAAAATACCATAAGGGGAAGTTGTGTGCAAATGATGAACCAATATCTGCAAAGTGCATAAAACGCGGGAATTACCATAAAGTTGAACGCTACAACAATTGTTACTTTTTTTTTAAATTGACGTAACTTTCGAACTCGAGTCATCAAAAATGATTTATAGGGGTCCAATAAATAAAAAGTGGACTCAAGTTGTGACAGTACATTTAAACAAAAAAAGCGTTCTTGCGTGATTGATTTTTACACTTAAGCATTGGTTATCGTGAAAGATGCATAATTCATCAGGGTAAACGGCGAACATGTTTCAAATTCAACTAAGTAAACGTAAATACTCTTTGAATAAAAGATCCTAAAAATTGTATTGCCAACATCGTTTAGTTAATCTTCTTTACTAAGAAATACTCGTAATTGAATGATGCACCCAACAAATTGTTATAACGACCAAATTTACGAGGTTTTTTTTAAATTATCTACTACTTAATAATTACACGAGTAACGCGGGTTAAAGAATCTCTCGATCATGCGTTAAAATGTTGTTTTTACGTAGAAAAGATGAACTCAGTAATTTGTACCTCTAAGGGAATTGAGAAAACAGTGGAAAATGTTAAGATCAAGGGATTTATAGACTTTTATTCTAGTTTGGTAGTTTCGTGTGCATTACTACTTATAATTAACTCCGCTAGATGTCGCTGCAAGGTAGTTGCAAGTTTAAAGTATAATATATAGCCTAGACTATCTATTTGCTGGTTTCTTTATGGCCAAGGTATTGAGATTTTTTTTATTTCATATGCGTTTTTACAACGCCTCATCGGCATAGGTTGGATAGCTTTTGGATCGGACCGGACCCACGACTAAATTGCCTGCAGCGTCTGTAGCGTCCATGAATATTTTATTTAAAGTGGGATAATTTTCATCCCTCACTTGAAATTGTAAGTATTTATTCATTTGATATTATGATTAAATAAGCGGTAATGTTTAATGTTGTTTAATATGTAATTTTATATTTTTTGTAAAAAAAAAAGTTTCTGCTATAAATACCCGCGCTTACGATATTTTTGAGAGATTTCGTTAAAAATTAACCGATCCAAAGTAATTCACCTGGCAATCTGTCTGAATAGGTTCTATTTTTTCGTTTTCTTTTCATAAACAATATGGAATTGTTCTGAACCGAAAAATCGAATATCCGAGGAAATGAAAACGGTTGGTAAGCGTAGGTGTGTCAACAATGCCCGCACACTCCATCGCCCCCTATACGATACAACTTTTTGTTGTATCGGACTCACGCTTCAATATGTTCAAAAATTGTTGAGAAACCAAACACTCACCAATTTAGATTATTCGCTGCCGTAAAGCAATCCAATTATAGAGAAAATTCTGTATATCCACTCACAGATTACTGCACTACTGATAAAATGATTCCACAAGCACTTCCAATTATCATTAAGTTAACTAGATTTTCACCAAACTATTCTAGGTAACACAAAAATCACAATCGGTACGTGTCACTCAGAAATATCGGGAGTAACCGGTTCCTAAGAAGTAGGAGAGTGTAACGTAACAGTTTGTTGTATGCAGTGCAATGTTTACAGTGGACGCCAAGCGCGGGGTCAACAGCAGCAGCACACACGCAACACAGTCGGCGACGGCGGCGGCACTGGCGGGCACGGCGCGCGAGGGGACCGCGGGGGGCTCCCTACGAACTTGCCCGACCACCTTTTCTATCTCTTTCACAACATGCGCGCGCGACGCTGCCGCGCTCACCTCGCCTCGCGTCTCGCTACAAGCATTGCCAGTTTCATTTTATAGGATGCTTTTTTGTTTTGTGTTGACGCTTTTAAATGAGGGGCCATAAAATAGAAACGTACTTCGTCGATTGGGAAGGGTAATAATAGAGATGGAGACTGGCACTATGTCTGTGGAAATATAAGTAACATGAAGCAAAACTTTCTCTAAGCTCCGAATCGATCAACTGCACCATTCGATTATAGATTTGGGTCGTTAATGTTAGGAACAGTTATAAGTGCTTTCAGATTATCAAACAACAAAACACTCAAGTTCTAAATTACGTATATGTATTCAAATGTCAGGCAACATTTAAAAAGGTTAAAATTTTTTTGCCTATAGACCAAGGAGTGAGGGAGACGGCTAAATCTTTTGCTACACCTCTGCTACTTACCTGAATGTGGTTTTTTTTTACACTATATCCTTCTGTTGCATTTGCCAGCCCCATGTATAAAGAAATCATAAATCTCTTGTTATCATAGAAATTGTAAGAGACTGATTATCGCAAAAGCCACGGAGTAGTAGAGGAAAATGTTGATAACATATTGTACTTTGAAAATTAGAAGCGGGTATGGAAATTACAACATTGAGCATTACAGCTTTTGAACAAATGCCAATGCAGCGGCTAAGCTCGGCAGAAAATCTAACTTAATGACTGCAGTTCAGAGAAAGTCAAAGATATAACGGGCAAGTTCATTGAGCTAGCAACAACGGAAACATTTTGCATATTAAGGAAGAGATGTAATATAATACTGTTGTAGTTTTGTTTTAATAGTTGCAAGTTAACAACGGAAATATTAATTATTTCAATACAATTATGTCCTCGTCAAGGTAAGGCATCTTCAAGAAAAGAATGAAGGCTAAGCGCAAGCAAATCTTCCTCTGATTCTAGTAGTTGATACTACGAAAATAAACCGTAAATATATGTTATTTTATATAGATTCAGAGCTACGTATCTAAAATTTACCTTCACTAAGAATGAAACGGCTCAATGATAAAAGGCCACACTTTTGCAGACTACTGCCAAAAATAACAGGTTCCCGCTAAGTATAAATTTAAAGTAGAACACACAAACTCAGTTTATCAAATGTCATAAATATGTTAACATAAAGAGATACTGTATCAAAAAGTTTGAGTCTCTTAAAAAATATAAAATAGGCATTTAAATAAAAAGTAATTCTTCTGATAAAACAGTAAAGGAAATAAAAAAGGAAGTAAGTGCGAAGGAATAAGAAAGTATAAAGTATTTTAAGGTTCGTTTAAAACAGTGATTCAGAAAATTGGTGGTCCTTGGTGTCCACAGGAGTCTCTGCAGGGGTGCACGATCGGTGTAAACAAAATTAAGGGTCCAGGAGTTCTAAATGGGGAATAATTGTAAAGATTTCGTTTGATTAATTTATGTTTCTTAGCACCCCTACAACAAAAATATAGGGACCGAAGAAAATAAGTTTAGGATCCTCTGGTTTAAAATAACCGGTAACCACGCTTGGCTGATTTGATCGAAGTTTGTTTTATCAATACACAGGATGTATTGATATAACAAGTGCGGTGCGTGCCCTGACATCATGACTGTCGATGTTATTCCATTTTATAGATACGGACCCCACGTAGCCTAGAAAACTTTTCTACGCAAGTGACGTTTTTTTTTAGCACGATTTTATTAGCTGCCTGCATTTCAAGGTCTCATTAGAATTAATTTATAATGATTTCCAGATGTTTACTAAGCACGTGGCCACAATTACTAAACGCCTTAGCAAAAACTATTTCATACAAAAAGTATCGTTACAAACATGGAGTTTACGCTTTGGTTTAGCACTAGTTGTTATCCGTGACTGTGTGGAATTAAAAAACTGATTCTTTCGTTTTGGAGTTATGGCGTAATTTTACAAAAAACAAACACAAATCTCAATCCCGAGGGAACTAACCTTTTTCTGAGTTGGCCTGTGCAAAATTTCATCTAAATCCGTTTACCCAGAGTTTTTCCAGAGTTAATTAATAACATATATTACCCATCAAAGTATAGAAAACTTTCTCATTTAAAATATTAGTCAAAACTTTTCTGTTTTAACCCGTTGAACAAACATAGCGGTATCATTTAATTGTATAATTGATACAAGAACGGTACAGTTAAGAAATGTTGAGTTAAAAGGAAAAACGTTGGTTATCTCGGCTGTTACAATGTAATGATAGGTAATTAGCCTTGTAATGACAAGCTGTGGAAGAGCCAGAGCCATGTTACGCTAACCATGTGCTGCACTCAAGCTAATTAAAGCAGCACAGTTACTCGAATGCGACATCTTACTTCCTTGTTAATATTTTTCCCCGGTCATTTTACAGTACTTGGTCTATTAGTAGATTCTCAAGACTCTCATCGAGGTTATAGAGGTTTCCCTTCAGCATATACATGTTAAGTTAACATCTAGTTTAAATAAAATCGAAGCGTAATGCAAAATTTAAAGTTATTCTACTCACCTTTAACTTTTTTATAAGCATAGATTTTTTAGACCAAATACCATCTTGTGTATCTTTAGATAATCCTTATCAAAGTTTTAAAATGATTGAAGGCTATACATATTTGAATGCAAACGGCGATTTTTATATCTTAGTAGCTGTTGCTAGCGACTTGGTCCGCGTGAAATTAAAAACTGTAAAAAAATGTAGAAAAAAACGGCGACAACGTAGCTTTTAATAACGAAACAATTTGTGAAATCGGCCTAGTAGTTTTTGAGTTATTGCAAAACAAATAAAAATGAGAATCTTTCCATTTTATAACATTAGTATATAGATATATATGTCTGGATTGGAATGTGAGTTTTTTCTAATCTTCGTATTAAGAAATATATTGCAGTTAGCTTCTAAACACTATGACGACGTGTGGGTCTGGATTAATTTAGTTATCTAAACGACTTGCGGCATTTGTTTTCCGTACTAGTTTTGCTTGTGCTTTGATCAAGTTGTTTGTGGGTCATGTTACAGAATTCTTGGTAGGACGGTATTGTTACAGCTTTGCTTATCGCTAATTATTGTCAACTAAAAGATCGTGTTCGTCTCCTCTCATATTCTATTTTAAAAAGATACTTGAGACAGAAACGAACTTTGGGGCTTGTTTTAAAACAAAGTCTGGTGACGTCTCTTTCGTCTTCCACGTGAATAATATATTACGAAAGATAAGCAAAAAGAGGCCCAAGATGTTTGATAGGCGGAGCAGGTAGATGGCGCGGCGGGCGTCCCGTGGGTTAGCCAACCTTTGTCTAAACATCTGCCTACGCGTTAAATTATAAAGAAATACTTAAACAATTACAGAGGACATTAAAAAGCTTTTTACTTTACGGAATTGTTGCTAGTTACTAAGAAAGAGGTATAAAGTTTTATAAATAACAACGTTGTATAAATTATAATTCTAAAATAAGAAACTTGGCACAACGAGAGACATAAATTATATTAATTACCCACTCGTTATCTAATTCTCGGTACAAATTTCTGAATTGAAGAAATAATTTAATTTGGCACAAGCATAATACCGAAATTACATGAAGTCGGTGTATTTCAGCTCCAAATTACGTTATCTGATATGGAACGGTTTACGATCTCGCCGGAGCCTATTTGCATATCAGAGGCGGCTGTAGAGGGCGCTGCAAGCTCGGGCACAATATATTCAGACGTAAGACGGCGCTATCTCCTTTTGTACAGAACAAGGCGCGAGAAAGGAACGAATTTTTGGCGGCTTGCCATTGACGAATGAACGTCCACAAAGTCGGATAAGATTCACGACCAACAATGTTGGTAGCGTGATCACGGATAAGTATGATTTGAGATGTTTAAAAACACACTTACATTATAAAAGTATAAAATTATTGATGCTGTAGAAGACATACCATAGTTGACGCACCAATGATTTCGAAATATTAGATTGGTTTATTTTTGAATACTAAACAGGATTAAAAATTGGCTAAAAGTTGCACCATTTCATTTGGTTGGCTCTTGAAGATTGGCTTGATTTATAATAAAAGATTTAATATCATTTCTGATAAGGAGAGTAATAGTTATCTTGAGTTTGTGAGGGTAGCAGTAGATATCGGCTAGATGTGTCCCTGCTAACGACGCGCTCCGACGTCCCACTTCGAACGCCGCATAGATAAGGGGAAGCGAGCAATTTTTCATTACCATTCCTTACTACCGTCCAATTAATAAGTTATCTCTCTAATAAGACTGTAGCAAACCTCGAGAACTCATTTCAATTCAAAACGAAGACATTTATTATTAAAACGTTACGTTCAAAGGATTCTTTGACTGGATGTAAGGATAAAGGCAACTTTAGTTTTTTTTCATATAAAATCTTTGCAGTTATATTAGTATACAAAAATGAACGCATGTGAAGAAACATTGTACTAGTAAACTAACTGTTCCTATGCGACTTCATCCGCATGAAATTATAAAAATTTAATTTTATTGTTTACATTTGTCAAATTATCAATTGCAAATGACAAAATGACATGACGTCAAACTATGGCAACCTTACTTCCTTGATGTTGGCAACAACTTATGGTCTATTTCCCACATTAGGGTTTTTATCCAAAATATTTACTCCTAAGTTTAACGGCATGAAAATATATAGCCTAAAGCGTGACGTAAGTCTAGGGCTTTTTATTAAAAAAAGAGTTATTCGAAAATATGCTGCGATTGCTGACATCTTAGGCAACAAAAAAGTGTGTGTTTACGCTTTACTATATTATATAGTATAGATTAAATGTCAGATTACTACTACCATTAGTAATATTTTTTTTTTATAACATAAGGTGGCAAACGAGCAAGCGGCCACCTGAATCCGCCAAAATAGCGAAGCGACTGCTGCCCATAGACATCCGCAATTGCAGATGCGTTGCCTACC